GAAACAAATTTTAATGAATATATAATTATTATAGAAAAAAATGAAATTTTGAGACTTGATTTTGAAAATTCCGTTATGTCTTTTATTAGATTCATTAAATTTAGAAAGTTAAGTCATATTATAGATATTTAATTTATATATGAATTAATTAACAAGTTATTTAAAATACTTAAAGTGGGGGGGAGGGGGGGGGGGTCATCCATAAGTGAAGTCACGCTTTTTTGGACGATTTTTACCTTCCCCCTCCTCTCAGTCACACATCGTCATAAAAAGCCAGACACCCCCCTCCCTTAAATAACATCATACCTCAGCCTACACCCCCGCCCCCCCCCCCCCCCCCCCTCAAAATTTCAGTTGAATATTTCTTAAAACATCGATATTTTTTTCCAAAATCTTGTCTGAACTCTATGAACATAGAGTATTTTAAACAATTCCGATTACAATTTATTCAAACAGTTTTCTAATACGCGAAATAAATTCTAAAACTCGTTTTCTAACATTGCCTTTATTGATTTTTTATAATGCAAAAGTGTGACGTCGCACCATCTGAACACCCCCCCCCCCGTCCCCCTCATCACACACCGTCACTAAAATACGGAATCATCCCCTCCCCCCTACTAGTGTGACGTCATTTATGGACAACCCCTAGGACAAAACTAAATCCATACACTATGGAGTTTGCCACACTTAAGGTAGGACTGGTGCAAGCATGGATCGGCTGCGTACAAGCGGCCAATCACCTATTTCAACTGTCATGGTCCATTAATTTCCAACCAAACCCTAGGACCGATGGCTACAAAGTCGGGGGTAAGTTTACATTCATAACAAAACGATAAGTCAAAAAGTTTAGTTTAATAAGGACATTTTTAAAAAAAATCAAAACAGTAATGGGTCCGATTTGGGACGCGTGGCCTAGAGGTAGAGCGCTTGCCTGCTAACCCGAAATTATCGAATCCAGTTTCAAGTCAATAGAACGTCACTGAGTCCACCCTGCTCTGATAGCTAAGTTAACTCACGTTCGGAAAAACTAAAGGCGGCTGGGCATAGTTCTGACCACACTATCCCTTCATATGGCTAAGTCACAGAAACAGGTGAACTCTGTCAGGTTAGAAAAGGGAACTACTTTTTTTACTTAAATGGGCCCATGACAACATGGATCCTGGTACCCCACCGGGAATTTTCTATATGTCCCGGGGGTCCAATTCACCCTTAGATTCGTGACGACATCAGAAAGTGTAACGTCACACTTTTGAATTTAAAAAAGAAATTATATCGGAGTAAATTTTTAACATATATTTGGAAGTTGTTGAACACATTCAATAGGTAGGTTACTAATATTGACTCGTCATTTTATATTTTACGAAAACAAAATGAAATCGCCGTATCGTTTGCAGAAAAAAAAATTGCAAAATGGGGATAAGGTAGGCTGAAGTGGGACATACCTGCAATAAAAATGGAAAAAGAAGCACAATAAAACAAAACGTATGTAATCCAACAAAAAACTCCTTAAAAATACAGTCTGATATGAAATGAACTAAGAACCCTAAACAGCAACAATTGACGACCTCGTAGTAGAATATATTTTTTGAGTTGACGATAAATAAATAATAATTTCAATCCGCTGCTATTTTCTCGGCATACGAATAGATTACGCGGTCAGCATTAAGCCATATGAGAACGAAACTCGAGACTTTCTGGTCATCCAAGGTGCGCTCCACCTCTCTGCCACACAGCTCCATTAAACAACAGTTAGGCTCTTACAAAACGAATGAACAGGATAAACAAATAACATATACATGGTGCACCTTTAAAACGCAGTAGCGTAGCGAGGGGGGGGGGGCGGGGGGGGCATATGTCCCCGGGCGCCGAGCTTAGGGGGCGCCAAAATGGGTTGGAAAAATAGATTGAAAGGTTGAGGGGGGTGCAAATCGAAAGTTTGAGGGGGGGGGGGGGGTGCAAATCGAAAAGTTTGTCCCCGGGCGCCGGGAAGGGTCGCTACGCCTCTGTTAAAACGGCCGGTGACAAATCGGCCCCACACAAAAAGACCCAGTCGAAATAGTCCCGACAAAAAGGCCCGACATATTGGCTCCCGACAAGTGGACTCCCGACATTTAGGCTACCGAAAAATGGGCTCCCGACATATTGGCTCCAGACAAATAAATCGTATGACCACCATTTTCAGCACAGATGTAACCATTGTGTTCAATCCGCCAACCACACACAGTTCCTTCCTCTACTATCTTAAAGAATTTTTTTTTAATAAACCAATAACAAAAAAAAAATCAAGCTCTTAACAGCAAAGTGCCGCGAATTTTAAAATTTTAATATTTTATAAAACCCCTGAAGATCTCTTGCTTAAAAGCGAACATAGATATCTATGATTTTTACTGGATAAAAAGACGTTTTGTTTTAATAAAATGTTTTAACCCTTTATTTACGGAATTATGTTCTGAATGAGATTTTTACTTAAACAATGTGTTACTATATTGCTTTTGGCACATTCAAAGCATATATCGAAGGAAATTTCGTTTCATAAATTTTTAATGGCCCAAACAGATATTGGTACTTATAAGTACCGTCAGTAAACTAGGACATTTTTTTTCAAAAAATTTTTTTTTACAAATCAGGAACAAACGATACAATTTATTAACTAATAACATGGCAATCATTATAACAATCACTTTTTTGTAATTTTCACACATAAATACAGCACAAAAGTATATTTTGAGTACGATTTTTACTGGATTTTCTATCGGAACACATCTTAGACCTCAAACACAGCAAAAGTAGTCGACATGTCATGCTCCCTCAATCTTGTCTGTGGTCTTTCTAGTGTTGCAACGGTTGCCGGAATGAATATGCTTTTGCTGGAAGCTTCCAATAACTAGTACAATGAGCCGCATAAACAAACAAAAGCCTAGTCATTCAGCACACAACTACTAGAAATACTAATATAATTGTAGCCTACTATAATGTTATGACAAGTCTACACTACAGTGCAAAGTTCATAAATAGAAGTGAGCTCAATGTGTTTTGGAAGAAGTAGTGGATTACTCTTTTCTGCTTACTGATTTAAATTTACCTTATAGATCTATACTATATGCAGAAGTATGGACTATTACTAGTCTACAGGTATACATTATGTAAATGCTAGTTGTTGTAGGCAAGACAGTTCATTGCAGTAAATATAACAAACAAATTAAATCTTACAACCTGAACTAGGCTTTGGATACAAATGAAGTATACTAAACCTTATAAACGAGCCTGCAACTGATACCTTTATTCTTGTTATTTTTTTACTACTAGAAATGAACATGTAATTACAATATTTCTTAGGTAAACCATATGCAAACCTTCTTATAAATGTGTAAATATCATTTTTTGAGTACATTTCGATAAGTAATTATCAAGACAATATTTATGTAACTCCACCTAACAAATCTGCAATTTTCTAAAAATCCTTAAAAAAATGACCGTGTGCCCTGACGGTACTTATAAGTCCACTTGTAAACATCGATCTAATATAAAGACAATTTGATTAAAATTGTATAACTAGAAGTTAAACGCATTTGCCTGACTATTGAAGGTGCCAATAAAAAATATTTGGGGTTGAAAACTTGAAAAATAAGGTAAAACAAAAGGAAATCAGGAACGGGTGTGAGAAATGTACAGAAAAATTGTGAACTACCAATATAGCAAGACATTGAAAAAGCGCCACACCATTAATTTTTTTAAAAACATTGATACCTCCGACTACCGGCGACTCGGGGGAGATAATACTATAAAATACATCAATAATTTTTAAAATTCGTATGTAATTTAATATAATACAGGCACTTAATTAAAGTGGTACTTATAAGTACCGTCAGTAGATAAAGGGTTAAATAAATGTATAGCGTGGCTCTCTCTCCCCACACACTGAGTTGGAACGGCCTATAAGCGACTCATTTATAGAAGGTAGCTAGATGACCCTTAAATTTATAACATACTATTTCTTATACTAGATCTAGATAAAATAATATAAAAATATGGCCTGTAGAAAAAGAGGAACTTAACGTTGTATTATCTAAGCATGTTGGCTAAGTTAACTCTGAGAGTATTAATTGAAGGGGTTTACTGGAAGGGGTCGTATTGAATGAGGACGTTTCGCCGAGATACATAATCTATACAGGAACCGTATTAACAGCAGCCATAGTGTCGGGAGCTTAAATGACGGTTGCATATTTGTCGGGAGCCTTTATGACGGGGTCCATTTGTCAATGGATTCTTTGGAGAGGGCTCTTTTAACGGTGCCGTTTTGACTCCGCACGCATATACGTAGCTTCCTATATAGCAGGAGGATTAATAGGTCGGGCGTAACCCTGTGGGTTAACCGAAGGTGTCATCCCCTCCCCTCCCCCACGTACAATTTTTCTTTTACCGTTGGGTGTCACCCTTCTCCCAGTGCAATTTTTTTTAACTGTATAAAAAACTTAGAGTTCATACACCTTAAATTTAAATAATGTCGTTGGCATGTTTTCAAACGAATAATTAATTAAAAAGAGGGTCGCAAGCAGAGGCGTAGTGACCCCTTCCGGCGGCCAGGGCGAACTATCCATTTTGCGCCCATCCCCCCTCCAGCTCATTAACATATATTATTCAAGTTGGTGAAACCGCCCCTGCCCCCGGGTGGTAAGATTGGTGGCACTTTTAACCGGTCACTTTCCGTAAAGGTTTCTGTTGAGGTGCCAGACAATTGATGTAGAAATTAATGTGTAGAGCCATGTAGCTGTTTGCGTTCGTAACTTTGTATATAATTCAATACCCCGGCTTAAAATGAGCTTTCTAATTATTTTTATACCCTTTTTTGCGCTCCCTTAGGGTCGGCGCCCAGGACGGCCGCCCCACCCGCCCTCCCCTAGCTACGCCACTGGTCGCAAGATGACATAGGATGGCACCAACTGGGGGGGGGGGGGGGGGTGAAGTACTTCAGTGAAAAGAGAGTCAAGTGGGCCTCTTACCTTCTTGTGAAATATTACTGGAAAAGCTGTGCACACGTTACTCCTTAGGAACTGATTCAAGTAAACGATCAAGTAACTGTAGATTTAGAATAAATTAAATGATTAAGTTATGTGGTTTTTGTTATACAATTTTCCAAAATCATTTTAACACTGTAAGCATAAAGAATACACACACACACATATAAATAAATAAATAAATAAATATATATATATATATATATATATATTTATATATATATAGGCCTATATATATATATAGGCCTATATATATATATATATATATATATATATATATATATATATATATATATATATATATATATATATATATATATATATATATATATATATATATATATATATATATATATATATATATATATATATATATAGTTATTTACAGGAGCTGTATATATATGTATATGTGTATATAAGTATGTATGTATATATATAGATTTATATATATATATATATATATATATATATATATATATATATATATATATATATATATATAATGTATAATTTAATATATCACAAAATACATAAACTGTTAGGATAGGCATGTCTATTTTCTGCTTTAAATTAAAATAAATTTTAACTCATTTCAACTCATATTAAAACTGATTTTCTAGAAAATATTTACAATTTTGAAATGATAACTCTTCAAAGTTCTGGCTGGGTGTTATCGAAGCACTTAATTCCAAAAAGTTGTGTAGGTAACCGAGATGTTCTTTGAATGCGATAGAAAAACACGGAGCAAGCACGGTGGAGGAAGCTTCACTGAGTTAAAATTAGATCCGCTCGGGCTTTTAACACGAGCAGGGGGAGGGGTTTGAGCCACGTGATTGGCTCGGGGAACTTGACGCGGCCTGCACGTGAGACAGTGGACCACCCCGTCCCTTCTCCACGCATTAACCTCATAATTATCTGAATGTAATTACAGATGTTTGGATGGAACTAATCAGATACGGGCAAAGGTGGATCCAACAATGCTAGTAGTAGTTTATCTCCCCTTCCCCAAATTTTAAAGTATTAAACCACAAATTTGGTGATAAAAATATTAGGAACATTATGAATCCAGATCGTAGGGTTTGGAAATCGGTGGCTCCTGATTGAGAGATTGGGAAATTGATAATTTTTAATTGAAAGATAATTTTTATTGATGATTCCATATTGAAATAAATTGATAATTTCAAATTTTAAAGATAGGGAAGTTGAAGATTTCCCCTTTATCCCCCTCCCAGATATTATATTTTTTTCATGAATACACACACACACACACACGCTCACACACACACACACACACACACACATATATATATATATATATATATATATATATATATATATATATATATATATATATATATATATATATATATATATATATATATATATATTTATATTTATTTATTTATTTATTTATTTATTTATTTATTTATTTATTTATACACAGCCATGGACACCGCTACAGTTTAATCCGCCCCTGTGTTGAAAGCAGTTGCAGAATTGTGAATGTAGTTCAGTGTAGGAAAAACAATCAAGATCAAACGCTCGTGGTCTGCCTCTAACCAGTGCTTCAAGTATCGATGGACGGTATTTTTAGGTTGGCAGCAAAGATAAAGTTCAGTGAGTTCTTCAGTCTGGCACGATAATCGGACACTTTAATGTTTTTCTTACTTTGAATGAGGGTGTCGGTAAGATAAAATTAGCACTAGATTACATTATCATCTTATCATCTAGCTCAAAAAAAAATTTAAAAAAAATAAATAAAAATAAATAAAAAAACCCGAGAGAGAAAATTTGAGTTATCATTACTGTTGATAAGATATAACATATTGCCCGGCATCTCATTGTCTGTAAAAATTAGAAAAAAAAATTGTGAAATTCGAGAGAAATGTGGAGAATATGAATCCAGAGCCCCTAAAATAGAGTCAGAGTTTCTTCCAGGCATTTCTGAGCCCCCCCCCACCCCCCGAACGAAATTGAAGTTATATTGAAAACATACTTTCAACAATGACCGCCCCCCGCAATTTAGTTCGCCCCCCTCCCCGAAAATTTCAAGTGCCCCCCCCCCCCCCCCCCCGGAGAAAAAAGTCTGGAAGAAACACTGAATCGAGTCCGTCTCACGATAATTTTTGGTGACTTTGCGCATTTGTCACTATCTCTTTATTATGTTGATCTACTATTTCAAATTTACTGTAATACTCCACATTTTTAAAAGCGTTTTTAAATATGTTTGTCTATATCTATATATTTAAATGCTATATATAACATATAGTAAATAAAGGCTGAACGCGGCATCAGAGTTTCTTCTAGGCATCTCTTTAAGGGGGGGGGGGGCGAAGAAAGTCTACCGAACCCCCCCCCCCCCCGAACAAAATGGAATTTATAAAGAAAATATATACTTTTAACAGTGTCCGCCCCCCCCCCCCCTACGGGAATTTTAGTCCACTCCCCCCTCCGAAAACTTGAAGTGCCCCACCCCCAGGAGAAAAAAGTCTGGAAGAAACACTGCCCGGGATAACAAAAGTCTGCCATACCGTTCACCGTGTGAATGGACACCTTTCCAGCAGAAACAACAACTAAGTGTGTCGTATTACTGGATGCACTTGTTACGTAAGAAAGTAGGTCAAGATCTATTTTGCCTTAGCGTACGTCCATTTAATGACGTAATCTTTTATTTTGACGATTTTTCCCCTCTAAAATTAAAATCGTCACAAAGTATCACCCCCCCCCCCACACACACACACACATACTAAAATGAGCTCACACCCCAGCCACATTGTAATATGTGTATTTAGGATTTTTTTAATAACTGAAAAACATTAATATAACAGGGCAACATCAAGGCTGAATGGGGCAGTGTCGAGGCATATTGGGGCAGCATGGAGGCAGATTGGGGTAGCATCTTGGGATAATAGGGCAGCCTCAAGGCAGAAGGGTCAGTATTAAGGTAGAATGGGGCAGCATCAAGGCAGAATAGGGCAGCATCAAGGCAGAATAGGGCAGCATCAAGGCAGAATGGGGCAGCATCAAGGTATAATGGGGCAACATCAAGGCATAATGGGGCAGCATCAAGGCATAATGGGGCAGCATCAAGGCAGATTGGGGCAACATCAAGGCAGATTGGGGCAGTGTCAAGGCAGAATGGGGCAGCATCAAGGCAGATTGGGGCAGCATCAAGGCATAATGGGGCAACATCAAGGCATAATGGGGCAGCATCAAGGCATAATGGGGCAGCATCAAGGCATAATGGGGCAGCATCAAGCCATAATGGGGCAGCGTCAAGGCAGAATAGGGCAGCATCAAGGCATAATGGGGCAGCATCAAGGCATAATGGGGCAGCATCAAGGCATAATGGGGCAGCATCAAGCCATAATGGGGCAGTGTCAAGGCAGAATAGGGCAGCATCAAGGCATAATGGGTAGCATCAAGGCAGCCAGTCCCACCAAGACAGCTATGTAGCACAATATTCCCAACTCAGACCAACAACAACAGACAGTGAATGATCAAACAGAACAAAGTTTTTGTTCATCAACTTAATTTTATTCACATTAAAAGCTAAAGACTCACAGCAACAGTTAAAATGTGTACCTGCACATCCATAAATAAACACATTTAATATTAATTCTGAAATGTTATGTTTTACTTCATAGGATGCATAGTGCCAAAAAAATAAACATTTCAGGATTGTTTTGATGGGTATATGCAGTGTTCATGTACTAATAAGAATATCATTTACAAGGGGAGCAGTAGGTTAGACTCATTATTCCATTTGTGAGGCTTGTCTGATTAGGGTTAATTATACTCTATATTAGTGCGGAGGTTAAAGGTCTATGTGCTGATTGAGAGGGATGTAGGATAAGTTTTTTTGTGTAACTGAGGTGGTGTAGGACATGTCTGTGTGTGTAGGTGCTGTGATGTAGGACAAATGTATGTGTTAAGTGATTTCTCTGTTTAGACTTAACACCCAGAACATGAGGTAATGCAGCTTATAATATTGACATTGATATTTTAACTTTTACAATCACAACACACATTCCAAAATAAGTCATAACAATCTCCAATGAGATTCAACTACATTCATGAATGCATAGAAAATAAACAGTAGGCCCTATGGAAGAATAATATTACTAAGAATTCAAAGAAATGTTTTTTTTCCGAGGGATTCATGGAGTCACAAATTCTCAGCTGTCCAAATACTGCCAGGTACTTATTACAGCTGAGCAGGCAGTGGGAAATTTAAGAGAATATTATGTAATCAGATTTCAAGTGTGTCCTAGTTACAGGAAAATCTACGCCATTTAATGACATGAGTTCTATGACAAATGTACTGAACTTAACATGTTTTAATGCATAGACAAAGCAACAGTTAGAATTTCTGAGAGTACACAAAAGTTGGACATGAAGAGAAGATTTCTTTCAAAAAATTCCTTTCAAACGTTTGATCATCAATAGGAAAGACTTAAAATAAATTCCTGTTTAATCTCTGTGCATGTAAAAAAAAGTTTTTGGATTGAGATCAAAATTTTTCATCGAGGTCTGCCACCACTGATTCAATATCTTGCTTTAACGAATGGAGGCCATTTTTGAGCTTTGTGGGCACCCCAGGGCCGCGGTGGGCTGCGGCTGCTGCTAACAGGGCTCCAAGAGCGGCTCCTCTATGGCAGTTCTCACCTGAAAACACATGGAAAGTTTGTTTGACAGGTACAATAATCTAGAGTAGCCTCCCATTGTGATAGGCATGGAGTATTTATGTGAAAATGTATGAAACATTATACAAATGCTTGTTATAAATATATATATATATATATATATATATATATATATATATATATATATATATATATATATATATATATATATATATATATATATATATATATATATATATATATATATATATATATATATATATATATATATAAAACATAAATGTTTATATAATGGTATGTTTAGTACTGTAAAACTTCCAGTATTATCTTCTTAAATTAATATTGTGTTTTCACCAAATTATCTGTTGAACTTTGTTGTTTAAATCTATGTATCACTGCCGTCATGAATTACAACAAAGTATACATTTTTATTTTTCATTTTAAAAAATTACCTCCACAATTAGCATTGGCAAAGACACCGCCTTCAAAGTCATCATGGAACTCCAAAGCTAGGAATAGCAGGGAGTTTAGTGCCCCTTCAATGTAACAAGCTGATCCTAGCCTTGAAGTCATTGATTGATACATTCTTAGCCTATCTTCAGTTCCTTTAGTTAATCTGTGGATTTTAAAAATTGGGATTGGAAAACAAATATCTAGTTTGCACAGACCAGAATTAGCGTTTTATACTATTTTTATGGCAAAGTTATCTTAAAAACTTGTTTACTCTTTTAAGCTTTTTTGATGTGTTATTAACATATGAACTAGATAAGTTTTACGGTTATCACCACTGGCAGTTATGGTAAACTGCAGTTTACATCGTGTAAACTATTCTATAATATATATGGCTTTTATAACTTTTACTATAATAGTAAAATATCTGTATCATGCTGATTAAGGAGTTCAAAACAGTTATCTCCCTTAGGTACATAATAAATTTCAAATGGGAAGTAATTTCAGTTGTTTTTTATGTTTGTTGTAAACAAAATTGCTCGTTGCAATTTAGAAATTATGATCAGCACACAAATAATCAATAAAAAATAACATTAACATTATTTAACTGAAAATATAACAATAACAATGGAGTTTTACTTTAATACACATAACACTTTTTGTTTTATGCTAATTTAGTATATTATTCAATAAGGTTTTATACAATAGCTAATTATTAAGATATTGTTTATACAGATATCATACTTGATTGAATCATCTAAACTTTTCAAAATTCTTTCCCTGTTGCCCGGTCCTCCGAGGATTGAATTTCCCAGTGCAATCATTACCTATAGAAAAATGTGTAGAAACTAGTATCATTATAGTTATTTGACACAGTGTAATCAACCATATCAAAGAAATGTGGGTGCAATAATTATAAATAACAGCAGTGTAACTAGTGTAATTAGACTAATTAGAGAAGCCTGGAGTGATCAAGTTGAGGTCTTTGCTTCATAAACATCAGATGTTGAATGTGGTTGCGACTATTTGCTAAACATAACTCAGCTAATTAATATGATTGAATGTATTTGATCCACACAGCTGAATATTAAGTATGGTTAATGCTTTGATTCTCTAATCATCCCTACTGAATTAGTTGTGATTATTAGCTCAATCAAACATCTACTGATTGTGATTATAGCCCTTTCCTTAATACAACTGTAGTATATTGTGGCTGTGGCGGTTTTATCCACAAAAACCATTTTAATAATATGGTTATAGCCCTTTACTCCACAAAACTCAGAAATGTGATGTGGTTGTGGCCCTTTATTCTGCATAACTCAGCTATATAATGTGGTTATAGCCCTTTGATCAACACAACTAAGCAAATTAATATGGTTGTGGTCTTTTTCTCCAAAAATATAGCTATATAATGTTTTTGTTCGTCCCCTTTTCTACACTAAAATTAGCAAATTAACATGGTTGTTTGGGGCGTGTTGTGTTCTTCACACAAACATCTAAAGACACTTCCAAGCCTACGCTACCTTGCAGTATGGCAGCACACAAAAAAAACAAAAGACACTTCCAAGCCTACGCTACCTTGCAGTATGGCAGCACACAAAAAAAACAATCACCAATCACCTCTGATTTGAGATCCTTCCCATTAATAACTGCGTGTAACAGACGAGTGTAAGCGTCCACAAAAGGGATCAGTGAAGGCACAGGGTGGGTCAGCTTCACAAAGTCAACAACACACTGGACGCACTCCTTCTCAGTCTTGTGGGCATTCCGCACAATCCATGGGATAGCTGGCACCAGGCTCCCAACTACGGCCAGTTGGTGGTCAGGGTGGGACTGTAGCATTCTCTTTGACCTGTGGATCAATTCATTGTTTTAGGTTTACAGTCTGGTTTGACCTGTGGATTCATTCATTAATTATGGATTCATTCATTAATCTAGATTTACAGTCTGGTTTGACCTGTGGATTCATTCATTAATTTCGGTTTACAGTCTGGTTTGACCTGTGGATTCATTCATTAATTTAGGTTTACAGTCGGGTTTGACCTGTGGATTCATTAATTAATTTAGGTTTACAGTCTGGTTAGACCTGTGGATTCAATCATTGTTTTAGGTTTACAGTCTGGTTTATTCTGTGGACTGATTCATTGTCTAAGGTTTAGTCTGTTTTCAGGCATAAGAAAATCTCACTGTGGACTGATTCATTATTTTAGAATTAACCTTTTAAACAATTCTTTCAATTATCTTATAAAATTTCAGACTGAACACTATATTTGTTAAAGAAAATGAATATTTTTTAGCTAAATCATGTTCCATCTTGAAAATGTTTGTTTTTAACATCTAAATACATACTGGGCCAATAATGGTACATGAACAGCCACTAAATTTTTTAAAACTTGCATTAACTTTTAGTTTCCAATCTAGGTTTGGGCTGTTTCTGACAAGATTTTTCCAAACAATAATCTGGATGTTACATTTTTTGACCTGATGGTTAATTGGGCAGATGAAGAAAGAGTTCACCTGTTTCTAAATCATGGCATATGATGAGCTAGTGTGATATTATGCCCAATTGCCTTTACTTTCCTTAACATGAGCTGGGTGGACTCAGGGATATCCTAGACTCTAGTTCAGGTCCAAACTTAAGACTCTCAAGTCAACAGTCTTAAGCTCTAATGCCAGGCCACAATAACCATAATATATATTAACCAGCTACAGCAACTTCTTACTCACAAGAACAAAACATTTTTTTTCACCTTTTCTCTGCAAAATCAATGAGCTCAGCCGCTGTTTTAGGCTCTCCACTGTCTGCCCAGTCTCTAAAAAAACTTCTGTGGAACGACTCAGCATATGTATCATTATGTGATCCTGGAGTTGTCATAAAACTGACATAATCTTCCAAGACCGCTCCCCTAACCTCCCTCTCCGGCTTGATTATATCATGGTCGAATTTGTTCATTGTTTGCAGTTCATGAAGGGCCATAACTGCATTTAGAGTATTATCTCCAGCTTTCATACCTAAGTAATTGGTTCAAGAAAATATAAGTTTGCAATTAAAAATAGTCAAAAGCACCATAATATGAAACCTACTCTTTTAATTAATTACTTAGAAGTGCACATATATAAGGCATACACTCTTAATTAATTACTAAGAAACTAACTTATGTTTTTTCAAATATTTCTAACTTTTTTTTAACGAAACATCTTTACTCATATATTTTCTAATGTGTTTACAATTAATTAAAATACATGGCAAATTAAAGTAACTAATGCTATTAAGATGATATGTTCCTTAAAAATAATAAAAGAAAATTAAAGTGAAAAAAAATCATGAGCCAAACCTTGGTGGTAGTGGTTATTGTTAGAGCTTCCATTCCAATACTTCAGTTTATCATGGAGGATAACATTGCCAATAATGGCTTTAGTGCTGGAGTTTGATCCCCTTCCACTACCATCTGAAAACATTGTAGAAACACAGATTGGAATCAGTTAAATAATACTTTCAAACTTAATTTTTCTTTAAAACAATGACTTATGGAGTTAGGATTCTTTACTTTATAATAGCTGAAATATTTGAAAGCAGAATTTTAAAGTAATTTAATGTTATACATCAGACAGTCAGAGTGAATACAAGAATATTAATTAAAAGTATTAATTAGATGAGAAAAAATATGAATATTAATTAATTTAGAAATAAAATATATAAAGCAGCAGGCAGTAAAACTAGATAAGAGAGTATTATTAATTAAAATTAGTCATTGATTCAAAAATGTTTTAATTTAATAGAATATTTAAGAATTTCAATTTGTTAATTGAACAATATAAATTTTTAAAGTTGCATTAATTTAAAGTGCTATTTAGTTTTTTTTAAAAATGTCAACTGTCAAAAAAAATGTATAAGATGCCTTACCAACAGCAGAAAGTCTAAGAATAGACGACGGATGTTTTCCATTAGGAGCAACATAGCCCTTCAGCCAACCTCCGTAGTCATGTTTTATATCAGAAGGCTCGTAGTACCAGTGTGCTGGCATGGCGACCGCATCAGCAACGAAAAGACCCCACACTGCCTCAGCTTTGGCCTTTTTTACAGACTCAGGAATTGCCGGTTTAGACATTACTTTGGCTTCTCTATAGAAAACACAATTTAAAAGTTCTGAAACAATGACAGGATAAAATATTTTACTCCTATAAATAAACAAAAAGTTGTCATATGAATGCATATAAGAGAAAAATGACATTACAAATCTCTATTTCCATATAGGCAGCTATTTGCCAAAAAAAAGGTAAATATCTTTTAAGTTGACAAATGAGGTTTCATCTTCAGTGGTTAGGTTGACGGGTAGGATAAATTTTAAGGTAGCATTGGGGATCATTTTGATCTGTAGGTCATCCGGTTATGTTATTGCCAGGTGTCATTTTAATACCACTGTTAACCTCTGAGATAGGCTATTGAACCTAGGTGTAGTATAGCCAGGTATTTTCTAAGATAAAATAGCTCAGCATAAAAAAATATTAAAACTTAAAAATATAATAATTTTATAGGACTATACAATAAGGTTATCTTATTTTTAACTTTCCAAATGCAAAAATTAATTATAAAACTTCTTTTCTTTAAACTAAATCACATCGAAAATATTAATTAGAAAAATAAATATTGTTCAGCTCATTAGAACAGTTAGGTTTGAAAGATTTGTGATTGTCTACTAGCACTCTTCACATCAAAGAGCTGATGAAGCTGAAAATAAAAGAATAAAACAAAAACAAAGTTTACTTACTCTTTTGTACCTTTATCCTCCGATGTTCCTGATTGAGTGCTGTGACTTTGTGAGAATACCAACGATGAAGTTTTAACACGGAAAGAAGTCTGACTCAAAAACAGGAGAGTGAATACAGACGCTGCAGAGGCTGTTAGAGTCAAACACCGACTGGAAACTGTTTGGGCCTGTAGGAATTAAATAAAATGAAACACTGCTTTCAAAGCAATAACATAATAAAATGTAACATATCTATATCGATAACTTTATCTATAAATAGCTATATATATATATATATATATATATATATATATATATATATATATATATATATATATATATAGGCCTATATTTAGGCATATTTTACACTTCCTGAATGACCAACCAATGTCTTATGTTATATTACATGTATATATAAACATACACACGTTAGGTATGTAGGCCTATATAAAACTTTTTTAAACACCCTAAGCCTAATAACAGAATAAATATGCTGATGCCACTCGTCTACCCCGGGGTTTGAACTTGGTGTAAAATAAACTTTTGTTTTAATCTTACAGGTTTTCTAATCTTTCTCACCTGGAAACAAAAATGTCTGTTGCTAGGTTTTATGGTATCTCTGTATAACAGGCAACTGAAACAGATTTAAATACTATTTCAATAATTGTGGCTCTAATGAGGACTAGACTTCATTATATCTCACTGTGATGAGATGAGTGCATATGTGATGTCACACTCTTGACCAAGGGGGATGGGTGTTCAGAATTTTGGATAATGGATAATGTGTGGAAATAGCTAAAAAAAATTAAATGTCAATATCAAACGAAGATTCTGTAGTAGTAGTGTAGGCCTTTATAATATCCATATATATAATTCTCTTCTTGGATACCTTAGAAAACACCAAGCTGTAAGCGCGCCTAGCAGCCCCCTCTCTTCCTCTCTAAGCATATCCCTACCACCCCCGCATGGTCTGGTGAGCTGTGGTTCACGCTAAATGTTTACAATCATAGAGCTGGGTTTAGTGATGGCTATTAGGGGCAGATAATTTTGTTTGAAACGATTTTAAACTTAGGGGAGGTAACTAAGAGGGGGCTGCTTTCACAGGGGGGTAGGGGTTGGGGGAAAGGAGGGGGGGGGGTTTGTCCTTAACGACCTACTGATAGTGTTTTAAAGCAAATATTTTCAGTGGCAGCATTGGTACTGTCGCATTCACAAATTATGAATTACTGAAAAGTAGAAAATAAAACAACTAAATAGCGGTGTATGATACGCCGCGGGTCGGCTCGTTAATGATAATATACTAACCTATAGGCCTAGTTACACTAATTAAGTTACTATTAGATCTAATTAAATAGTATCTTTAGGCCACTACCTATATAATATATAGTATAAGTAGTTTAAAGTAGTAGATCTACATTTTTTTATCAATCTTATTCTTATTTCTTCTCTTATCTTATCATGCTTATGATTATGACTCTTACATTACTTATTTATTACTTAAGTCTTCAACTCTTATGATTAGTTATTACTTAGTAGATCTAATACTCAGTTATCATCATCATCATTAGTCATTAGTAAACTACAAACGTCTAAAAAGATTCTTTAAATTAAAGTTAAAAGTAAAAGACTAAAAGTTTAAAAAGAATAGGCCTAAGAAGATAAGCAAGACTTAAGAGACTAAGTGATAAGTCACTAAGTCGCCTGGCCTAAAGTCTTACTAAAGTAAAGACAAAAAAAGATTAAGATTAGATTTAGATTATAAACATTAAAGATTAATTAAAAAAATAAAGATCTTACCAGTATCGTTGTACGGCAACGAACTGAGACGGTAAACTATAAACCATTTTATATAAACCGAAATGTTATATAATTCATTGGTTATATAACACACTCCAATTTATAATGGAGATAGGCCTATAGGAAATCGAAAGTAGCTAGGCCTAAACAGTTCAGCTGCTTCATTATTTACTGCTGAATGAAACCGCAATGTCTATTTATAGACGAGAGCAAATTTTAAAAAATGTGAATCGATAAATATATGTAGATTTTAGGCAAAAAAGTTAACACATAAAAAAATCAAAAGGAAATTATATTAAAGTTTGATCTTAGCAAGGTCTGGGCGCATTTCATGTGAAGATTTCTTCCAATGAATTAGCAGAAAATGCATTACGCAGAGCTTCCTGCGTCAAAATGGCGTCGTTTATGTTTTGCTGCTGTAGAAGCGGCGCTTTTGGTCCGGGGCATGTTCAACTAAAAGACCTTCCTACTGTTAAATTAGATACCAGTTTTATGGGTATGATGTTTAAAACTAATAAACGCTTTTCGTATTGTGCAAAATAGTCTTTGTAAAAATCTGGACTTTGTAATAATAAGCCAAGTGCATCGTCAAAATAAAATAAAAAAAAAAAACTCAATGAAACAGCCAGGTCAAAGGTGATGAGAATTATTAGATTAGCATTAGGCCTAACAATTTAACAAATAACAATAAATATTAAATAAACAGGATCTCCCCTTAGGATACAAGAAATGACTATTGTATTGAGTGGATGATTGTTTTTCATCTTATTCTTAATAATTTAAGGTACAATCTATCGTTTTAGGTACGTAAATCGGCCGAGGCTAGTATTAGTATCATCAAGTAATGTGAAAAAAGTTGACTCATTAAATTTTGGCCGATGCTAGCCGGAAAAAGATAAGCATGCGTAATGGAGAGAAACTACGACTTGCCATCGTGGCGATGTTTTCGACTGTACTGCGCATGCGTGTGTTTACAACCGCAGAACCCTAACACGAACCCTAATCCGGATGATTATAGATACTGGTGTCCGATAATGGAATGTTCTTTAAAAAGGGGGTGTTGAGTTGTTAGTAGTATTGTAATCCCAACTAATTTTATGGTTAGAAATTAGGGTTAGGCGTATGGTAGGACCAGGGTTGGGATTTGGGTTAGGGAAAAGGTTAGCATTGTGTGTAATTAGTTAACTACCAGTAACCTGACACCCCTTTTTTAAAGAAGATTCCACTATCGGACACCGGTATAAACACGCTAATCCTAATTCTAACCCTAGCCATAGGTCACTGCGCAGAGCTATCTTTTGCCGACTAAGTGGAGACGTTGGGGAGAAAAATCTAGCCGGAAAAAGATGCGCAGCGGAGAGAAACTACGACTTGCCATCGCTGCGATGTTTTCGACTGTACTGCGAATGCGTGTGTTTACAACCGCAGAACCTTAACACAAACCCTAATCCTATCCCTAACCCTAGCCATAGGTCACTGCGCAGAGCTATCTTTTGCAGATAAAGTGGAGACGTTGGGGAGAAAAATCTTCTTCCGAGTAGTCACTTCATTAAATTTTAGTAATTAGATCTAGGCCTATTTCATATTTTAAAGAGGATTTATGTTTAGAAAGTTACGAAAATATTATCAAAGTTTCATTAATGTAGCTATTTTTAAACAACTGTATTAAAACTTTTCAGTAGAAAATAATGACTAGCGATGTTTTCATCAGATGCAGCCAAGCTTATTTACTTTAAGCAGCCACCTTGTTTAGGTTTTTTTTTTGGTAAAATTATAGTTAGAGATTTAGGGGAAACCACTCTTACTTACAGATGGCTGATGTTTATATATAAGTATAGGAAGCTTGTTCGCAAACACTTCTGTTAAAGTTAATTTCTGGCCTATATTGATATATTTAGCCATTGATTTTGGTTTATTATTCAGTAATCTCTAATATTTGACACCAATACCCTATATCACAATTTACTTCTATTAAAGCATTAACAATGAGGCAACTTTTCCGCACATTACTAGCGTCGGCCGATTTTACGTACCTAATTTAATGTTATCTAGAATAGATCTAGGAAGTGTAGTAATCAGGGATGGGGGAGCAGATGAGGACATGAAAAGCCCTATTAGTATCACTATCAGTGTATCAGTGAGTATCAGCAAGGCCAGGTGCTGGTACTGAACAGTAGCAGGTTCGATTCAAAGCTTCCGGGTTTGTTGTTTTAAAGCCATCTCACGGCTCATGCGCTTACCAAAAATGCCTTAAATTGCGACAAGTTGCGCTTTCACTATTCAGTAGGGGTAAAACTAATGATTACGAAGCCATCGTCAATTTTAGAAATCGGAACTATCCATTTCTATTTAAGTCTGTTATTTATGAATTGTCAGATGTATTTTTGACCTAATTTCTTTATCTCGCGACGCCTTAGTGAAAGTAGCTCTATATTATTCTTATCTTTTGAATGAAATAATAAACCAGACTACGTGTAGGCCTAGATAATACTTTAAAGTATCAATTTTACACACATTACAATTAACTGTTAATAATTTATGGCCTGTATGAGATGTGGTCCGTGCAAATAATCAACCCTCAATAATGCCATTTTATTATAATCTTTTTTGGTGAAAACGGGGTGCGGGAAAATGTGTGCTGCACAAGAATCCAATCATTTGGTTAGATTTATGACTGTTTTTTTTATGTCACACCTAAAAATAGAATGTTGGCGCTTTCTTCATTGATGATCATTTTTATTATTTTTGAAACTGAAAGTATAGATTGCAGGTTTTGTAACTTGGTATACTTACCCTTTATCAATTTTAAAAGCATAGCATGCTGATTGTGAACAAATATAGTCATAAAACACAGAAATATAAAGTTACAATGCAATGTGCCACACCAGGGTCACACCCCCTCAAGAAAACATGTTTATTAAGCTGTTTATCTCACTTTACAACAGTAATTAAAATTAATTTTCAAATTTTTATTACTTATTGGGTAAGATTAAGCACATGTTTACTAAAAATTAAAAAACAAACAAAAGTAAATTCTGTATTAATGAAGGTTACAGGTCAAATATTTTTTTCCTTTAGTCAAGTTCAGTGGAGGGTGCCACAGGCTGACCTGACTTTGGAATTTTTTTCAGTAATAATGACTTTGCACAGAAAGTTAAAATTTGCTAAATTGACTTAAAAGTTTACTAATGTGCTAACTATCATTGATACATTTTTTTTGTTTATTCTTCATTATCTGCCCTATTTAATTCTGATCTGTTAAATTTATTTTCATCATCTGGGGCTAAGTTAATTTTTTTTTTTAAAACAGGAAATGATGTTGTGATAGTAAAAAATGGACACAGGATATGTGGTAATGGAGCTGCTCTAGCCAATGCCCCAGTTGCACAAAATAAGGCATATTTTGAAATCAAAATACAATGTACAGGTAAAGTTCATCTCTAATTAAAAACTTTTTCAGTTTAATGTAATAATACAATGGAAATTATTAACATTGGAACACAATTTTGTTAGTTATGAATAGAATACTCCCCCAAACTGCACACATTAGAGTATACTGACTAAACTCACCTCTAAAGTTGTCAACAGTATCTCAGTCTATCAGCATGAACTAAAGGGCCTCTGCTCTTCTTCTTTGTCAATCTTATTTTTAGTTTTCACTTGAAAATATAACAAAAGCACAGAAAGTTTATAGATATTATACTAATACTACTAATATTGTTATCTCAAATTCATGGGGGACGGGGGTATTCTAGAGGCATAAATTGTTGAATTGCTTACAATAAACACAGGATTGCTGTTAATATTTAGTGGAAGGGGTTTACATGCAACTACACTGTACACAACCTTAACAATAAAACAACTTCTTCCCCACTGATCTGATTGTGACCTTAATTTACAGGAAAATGGGGTGTGGGCTTGGCTACAAGGAGATGCAATCTCAACAAAACTCCCCTGGGTTGTGACACCGATAGTTGGGTTCTGCGACAAGATGGCTCCATGTTCCACAATGGTGAAGAGAAAGGGAAGCTGCCTGACGTTCCCCAAGAAGGGGACATTGTGGTGAGGAGAATCTGCAGTCAGCTGCATTGGTTTCAGAATAAATTTTTTTTTTTTTGATAAATTAATTATGGATTTTAAAGAGGTTTTTTTTTTAAGGTTTTTTAATTTCCTTAAAGTGATTTGTATAAAAATATTTCACCAAATCAGGTTTTTTTTATTGATAAATTAATTATGGTTTTTAAGTAATTTGTATAAAAATATTTCACCAATCAGGGTTTAACATATGACCACATAGAGCTTAACTTCTTCCTTAATGGCAGTCCCTTGAGTACACCCTTCTGTGGTATCAAAGGGACGGTTTATCCAACTTTTTATGGTAAGTGCTAAGTATTTTAATAAAATACTTAAAAAAAACTTTTTAAAAAACCACATTTTTCTTGTGGACTAAAAGGTAGAAAATCAATTTTTATTTTGTGCTTCCTCGAGCTGTGCAGGTTCTTGTGATGACTGACAAAAAACGTGGGTACGTTCACCATCAAATTTCCCGATCCATCTTCCCGACCCACGTTTTTTGTCAGTCATCACAAGAACCTGCACAGCTCGAGGAAGCACAAAAGAAAAATTTATTTTCTACTTTTTAGTCCACAAGAAAAACATGGTTTTTTAAAAAGTTTTTTTAAGTATTTTAAGTATTTTATTTTCTCCTTTTTAGTCCGTTGCTACACATGAAAAACGTGGTTTTTAAAAAGTTTTTTATATAGTTTATTTTCTACTTTATCTAATGACTTGATTAAGTATGACTTGACTAAGTGTTTATAAATACACGGACTAAAAAAATCTTGAGCGTCCGATACACTTTAAACAGAGAAAGGGCGTAATTTAATTAAGCCAACATGCCGTGACCAGGATTCGAACCTGGGTTGTCGCGGCCACAACGCGAAGTACTAACCACTATACGATCACGGCCAGCGCGCTCACATCGATTGGGGCCGAAGTAACTGTGTCAATAGGCCTCCAGTCTTGTCAGTATGTTTAGAAATCATGTCCTCGATTTTATGGTCCTTGGGGCGTAATTTAATTAAGCAAATTTAGGTCTCTAATTGCTAGTTTTTATCATTGCATCTGAAATTGTTAGGCGAAAATAGCCTGCATTCCAAATTTCAGATCTCTAGAGCAATCAGAAGTGGGCTAATTTTCGATGTCAATTTTAACAACAAACAAACAAACGCGAAGCTGAGTTAAGAAAAACGTGTTAAAAGATTGGTTTATATTTTTGTTTCAGTTGTCTTGTGTTGTTCTATTTTAAAGTAGAAGTCAGTCTAAAGAAATGATTCTCATTGACTCCCTACAAGTTCAATGTAGTAAAATCCTAGCTTAGTTGTTATTAACTAAATTAAAAATTTTAAATTCTAATGCCATGTAGCATCCACATTTTCTTTTTCCAATTATATTTTGGGGGCATAAAGGTCAATTTCAGGATTATGTATAGTATTGATATGATTCAATGTTAAAAAAACAAAATATTGATACTCAGCACTAATGATGTTTTTTTTTTGTTTTTTTGTAGTTGACGATGGTGCTGTCCTTGATGTACATTTTGAAAAGTTTTATCATTCACCTCCAGATGGTTTTGATCCCATTATGATAGAGCAGTCACTGTTATGATATCTAGAGTTCATAATTAAGCCTATTTGAAAATTATTTATGCTTTAAATATTTCTTCAAACTCGTCATCTCCATATTTATGAACCAGTATTGACATGTACACATATCTGTAGCGGAGTAGATGATGGTCTTAGAAATCACTTTCTCTAAAAATAAAATTTTACAATTTCACATTTAAAATAGAGATTAGTTCACAACAGGACAAACACTAAAGCATTGCTAAGTTGGTTGTAAGTGTAGTGTAATAATGTGTCATTAACTGTTTTATGTGGATTTGGTTATGTGATTTGAAAACCAACTTCCTTTTAGAGTTATATTCCCTTTGACAATTGTTTACACTTGAGGACTTATACCAAATTTAATGGTTATAATTATAAATGAAAAAAACAATATTTAATTGATTTCTTTGTTCGTGTATAGCATTTTGTTTCTATTATGGAATATATTTACATTTTTAAATTACACACCCAATGTATAGTACATTTAAAAGGTTGCTGTAATTATGGGATTGTGCTTCCTTCAGTAATGAAAGTTATATTTTTAGCATGTTATATGTACCTCATAATATGCTGGGTTGGTAATACACTGAATTTATCCTATCATTATTTTACTAAACATATGCTGCTCTCATTGATTGCAATTGACTTGTCCCTAGCATATTCCAGTTAGCAATGCATATTTGTGCATCAGTAAAAATTATTTGTTTGTTGAAGTTTTTTGCTAGCAATAATCAGCACTACCTCTGGAGACTTTGGCTAATAAGAGATTCAGAATAGATTTTTGTGGATAGCCTTTGAACATAAAACAATTAAAGAAGTAAATGCTTTTTAAAAAAAAAATTAATATTAACTTATGAACGAGAAACAAATATTTTTTCCCTTTGCTTTGGTGAGGATTGGACATTTCCCCTCCTTTTGTTTTGTATTCTAAAATTCTTGTTGTATATAGAGAAACTCAAGCTCTACTTATGGCTGTGAGACTTGATAACAAAGCATTCTTTTTTCAGCATTGAGAGAAGTACCTTGCTTTTGAGACTGTATGAGACGTTTTGATTTCTTGACAGTGTAAAAGCAAATCCCTTGTTCAATATGTGAACACAATTGTACACACCATTGGAACACCCCTAGCTTTAGTTTGTTAGCGCTTCATTGTTTCTTTGGCTCAGAAAATCATAACTTTGTATAATGAGTCAAGACTCTTTCTAAACTAGACACTGTTGACATTAAATAGTTTTAATAATTTATTTTTAGTGTAAAGCTTGAGTCTTAGCACATTTTCTATATAAATCGTTCATTTGAAAAGATGAATTGCTTTCATAAGTGTAATATCTACCATGGACAGTGATGAGTAAATCATCTTCCTAATTTATATTAACATATCCAAGTTTTAAAAAACAATTTTTAAAAATTTGTCAAATTAAAAATAATAACTTTTAACATATTTAGGATAAGTTCATGCGCATTTTAAAATATTGTTTTTTTTTACCTTTAAAACTTAAAATTTGGGACCAGTGCTTTTAAAAATTAAAATAAAACATTTTTTCCCCCACTGCATAATTGTTTCCATAAAACTACTATGTATGCCCAATGCCTTCTGCATTATAATGCTTTTTTTTTTGTTAAAGTTATAATTTCAGTGCCATCTCCTGTAACTAGCTAGTTCTGTTTTTTTGCCCTGTTTGTGACAGTGTGAGTCTGTTTCAAGTATGTTGTAAATTTCACACATGTGTAACATAAAAATTGTGCATGTGTAGTGCAATATTATTTATAATATAGGATTAGTTTAGTGCTTCCTGTATTGTGTTGTATCATGGTGGCAATAGCTAGGCTGTTGTATGTTAAAAGTCAGCAGTATGTATCTGCTAAATCTGTATGTCACATTTTGAAGATTTGGTTTTTTTAAATTGACTGTGTTTCTAAGTTTTTTTTGTGATGTACTGCGTACGTATGATCACAAAACATTTATGAGATGTGGACTTTATGTGTCTTTTAAAGCTTGCTTATCTAATATTTTTTTGTTTTTATACCATCTAATTTATAATTTAAATTTTAGTAGTTGTAAATTTTTTTGTTATTTTTCCTCTATGCCAGATACACAAAGATTTTTAATTCATGTTTAACGCTCTCTATTTTCAAAAACTCAAACGAATTCTAAACTTTAAAAAAAACCTTTTATTTGAAATGTGTGAATTTGTTTATAAACTCTCTGTCATTTTGAAGGAATGTAATATATTTTTTAATGTAGTTTAATATAAATATCGTTTTGTTTTAGCAGATTGCATTTATTTCCAAATGCATTCATAAATTAAAACACCTTTTTAAAAAGCGGACTTTAAAATGGCCACTGGTCTTTGTGTTTCTCTAATGTTATATATAAGAGACTGTTGAAAATAGACTTCCAATAGTTTGGCCTATGTGAATATACAGTTTCTGTCAACCAATATAAACTCTGTTGTCTTGCAGATGTTGTTGATATATAAATGGTGTTTTGTTTAAATCCAAAAGTGAAAACAGGAAATATATCTATAAATTTTTTAAAAAATTGTCTTGATAATTTTTTTTGTGTAGGATATAATATACATAATTCATGTTAATTTATGTGTAATTCTGTATTTCCAGTGGAGCATTTTTTGTTGTTGTAAGAATAATTCATGTCAAAAATATTTTTATTAATTTTAATTGCTTAAAAATGTGTGCGTTGTATAGTTCAATTAAAATAAATTCTTGTTTTCACATTTTATTTCTAAGATTTATGCAACTCTTTCTTGTATGTAGGAAGATGTTATGTACATAATTATATCCAGACTGATGTCTATATAAACATGACAATAAACAATAATGCTTTATATTCTGTTCTTTTTATTTTGTGTATATGACGATATGTGTAGTTATCTACTGCACCTATTGGTTGCTCTCTCTCTTCTCTTGGTTACATAAACCAACTAAGCTACATTTAAAAGCTAAACAGAGGTACCAATAAGCTGCGCCTGGGAATAAAAATAATCCTAACTAATAACATACAATTTCATGTAAGTTGACATAAATTTCTAAGTCTATTTTCAAAAAGTTAGCCAAAAATAACCTGAAGACAGCGGTATAAAAATAGCACAACAAGGCAGTGGGTGTAGAGAGCACTGGGTGAATTCATCAACTTGATTGAGAAAATCTAGTTTCTCTAGTTAATTTAGAAGCTCACTAAAGCTCTAAACATATTTTAAGCATACTGTGAAACTCAAGGATTTGTTAGAGGGTGACGCCTTTATAACAAAAGTTTCAGTTCAGCTTATAATAAACGTCATTTATAGTTGACACCCTGAGTCACCACACGGGTGTCACCCGACCTAGTGTCACTCTTCTGGGGGGAGACTTAGCCCCCTTTAAGAAAGTCTACCCCCTTTCCCCCCCCCCCCCCCCCCAACAGAACAAAATAGAATTTATATAGAAAATTTAGTCCACCTCCACAAAAATATCAAGCCCCCCCCCCCCCCCCCCCCCCCGGAAAAAAGTCTGAAATAAACACTGGTGATGGCAGTCATTGACTATACTTCAGCAGTGGTGATTGGATCGTTAGTAAAGTAAAAGGGTGACAACAAATTTCCGTAAAATTTAATTCATAATTAAATTAATTCAGCAAATGTTGGGTCCTCTCCGACCAAGTGATTGGATTGAAGATGACTTAATTTGACTTAGTCCTCTTTGCTCCTTATGGACCGTAGGGCCTCCACCATTTCCTTCCATTTCATCCGATCCCCGGCTATTAATTCTGTCATCTCCCAAGACATCCCTGTTGGCTTCAGTTCTTCAAGAAGACTCCGCCTCCAAGTCTGTCTAAGGCGCCCTTTCTTCCGCTTTCCCTGGGGGTTCCACTCAAGCGCCTAGCTTTCCTCCATAGTTCTATGTTCGGCACGGTGTCCTGCCATCTCAGTTTCAATATCTGTCTAAGGCTCCTATTCACGAAGGTCTGTATCTTTGCTGTGCTTGCTTTTGAGACTCTCCATTTCTCTGCTCCATACAGCAGAACTGTGGTAATGGAGATGGCCAAACTTTTCCATAGGATTGAAGATAATGTACTTTTAAGTACCACGATTCTCCTTTTCCTACCATTAGTTCAGAGGTCATTCGAGTTTTAGTACGACATCGCACACACAAAAAAAAACAGATTTGTCGGAATTTTAAAACTGAATTTTGGGAATAGCACGCAAAGCCTTGCTTACTTTCATTATTAAAAACAAGTTAATTAAAAAAGTCTAGTGACATTTATGCGCAATTTCCTTATGTTATCTAAAAATAGCTCTGACGTATAATGCTGGGATGCGTTCAAGCTAGAAGAACAATCGGTTTGTAGGTGTTTTTGTAATTTTAAAATTTGTGACCAAACGAGAGGATATTTTTGAAAACTTTCTTCGGCAATATTGCTCTAAATTATGGCAGGAATCGATTGGTACATGTTTCAAGTCGCTTAGTTGTCTGGTTGACGAGATATGGGCCAAAAACTGCTTTTTTTCGAGGTTTTTTGGCTTTTCCGGGAAATACATGAAAGAAACCCGGAATTTTTATGGCCTATGCTCATTCTTGTAACTTGCTTAACATAATTGCTTTTGGAACTAGTCATCGATATTGCTTCGTTGAGGAGGAGATACGACTTAAAGCCCGGACACACATTCATCCATACATTCATCCATCCATCCATCCATCCAGAAATGACGCGTTAATAAACGCAATTCTCCAGAATGGAAATTGCGCTAAAAAATAATTTAATTCAGATATGTTAACTTGCACAACCATTCAAAGTAGTAAACGTTTAGCTGCAAGTTTAGCAGAAATAATTTTAAGTTTCTTTAGTCTTTCTTCAGGCCAGTAGCGTAGCGAGGAGGGGGAGGGGGGCGGGGGGGGGGGGGGGGGGACATATGTCCCCGGGTGCCGACCTTAGGGGGCGCCAAAATGGGTTGGAAAAATACATTGAAAGGTTGAGGGGGTGCAAATCTAAAGTTTGAGGGGGGGGGGGGGTGCAAATCAAAATCTTGAGGGGGGTGCAAATCGAAAGTTTGAGGGGGGTGCAAATCGAAATCTTGAGGGGGGTGCAAATCAAAAGTTTGAGGGGGGGGGGGTGCAAATCGAAAAGTTTGTCCCCGGGCGCCGGGAAGGGTCGCTACGCCTCTGCTTCAGGCCAACTCTTTACGGCTCTTTTCCCCTCTGACATTGGCATACATATTTAGGATACTCACTCTAACCCCATTTGTGCAGGGGCGGAACTACATTGCCGCCAGACCCTGCAATGCGGGGGGGGGGGGCACGCCATTTAGGGCCCACAGCCGACAATAATACATTTTTTATTGTTAAAAAAAAGTTAATTTTTGACTTGATGGATGTTTTATACAAAGAATACCGTAGCTGCGGTTGGATTATCTTTATTCTATACTCTATAGGTACCATCCCACGCTCTTGTATATTCTTTTTCCCTTTGTTTTTAAACCATAATTTATAAGCTGTAGTGTGAAAGATGGGCTAACGTTAAACAAGTTAATTAAAAAAGTCTAGTGACATTTATGCGCAATTTCCTTATGTTATCTAAAAATAGCTCTGACGTATAATGCTGGGGTGCGTTCAAGCTAGAAGAACGATCGGTTTGTATGTGTTTATGGAATTTTAAAATTTGTGCCTGAACGAGAGGATATTTTTGAAAACTTTCTTCGGCAATATTGTTCTAAATTATAGCAGAAATCGATTGGTACATGTTTCAAGTCGCTAAGTGGTCTGGTTGCCGAGATATGGGCCAAAAACTGCATTTTTTCGAGTTTTTTTTGCTTTTCCGGGAAATACATGAAAGAAACCCGGAATTTGTATGGCATATGCTTATCCTCGTAACTTGCTTAACATAATTGCTTTTGGAACTAGTCATCGATATTGCTTCGTTGAGGAGGAGATACGACTTAAAGCTGCGGACACACATCCATCCATCCATTCACATCCAGAAATGACGGGTTAATAAACGCAATTCTCCAGAATGGAAATTGCGCTAAAAAATGCCATTTTTAAATTATTATTTAAAAAAAAATACGTACTAAAGATTGACATAGTATAAAAAGGAAATATATTTAAAATTAATAATATAAATACAAAATAAACATAACACGGAAACCATTACACATACAAAGCTTACACGTTTATATTCTTTTTACCGGCGAAATGATTGCAAGTATTACAGCAAACATAAAACAAAACGGATTTTCAACAGACTAATGCACTCACACACATGTTGTTGTAAATTGCGTTAAATGAAAAAAAAAATCCCCAAAATAATGACATTTTTTTCAAGACCCGATCAGGCCAGAAATGAATATCCTATGTTCGTATTCTGTGGTTTCATGTATATATATATATATATATATATATATATATATATATATATATATATATATATATATATATATATATATATATATATATATATATATATATATATATATATATAGGCCTATATATATATATATATATATATATATATATATATATATATATATATATATATATATATATATATATATATATATATATATATATTATATATATTCTGGGGGCCCAGAAATTGTTTTTGCGGGTCCTTTTTTCTAGTTCCGCCACTGCATTTGTGTTGTATAATGTTCACAGTAAAAACTATTTTTAGTATAGATCTAGTTATGTGTAGAAGTATGTAGGTCTATCTTTGTTATTTAAAAGGAATCTAATTAGATACTAGTCTAGATCTGAGTTTAGGTCTAAATGAGAGTGTCGACCATTTTGTTAGAAAATGTTACAGTAAACTTTTATGGCACGACATTGCCTAAGGTTACCAACTTATAAGCATAAAACATGTAATTTAAAACTAAAACAAACGCAAAATTAAAATAAAATAGTATTAATTTTCGTACATTTTAAGAACGTTTTTAAACATAAGAAATAATAGATTGGACCTAAGAAAAAGGTTTAAAACTGCACTTTTCTAAAGGGGAATAACTAATGCCGGAAATGAAATAACCAGGAAGTGAAACTAAAACATGAATCTGATTCCAATCGTATATCTACATTGAGTGTTTAGATGTAAACAGGTAAAAAAAGGATAATGTAATAAATTTAATTTGTATTTCTTGGTATTTTTATTTTTAATATAGGCCTATACAATCGCCTTTAAGATTTAAAATTATAGAATCCTTCAATTTCAGGCCTAGTCTAGATTTTTTATTTTGTTTTAAATTTTACTAATCACGGACTTGTGAAAAAAGTTGCAAGTATCACTATCAATGATCAAGTATCAAGTAGATCTAGAATAAAGTCTAGAATCTATATTAATATTATTATTAGATCTAATAAGTAATGAAAGTGAAAGGAAGAAAAATTGGGTGGAATTTTTAATCGGTGTCCGATAATGGAATCATCTTTAAAAAAGGGGTGTTAGGTTACTGGTAGTTAACTAAATATTAAATAAACACATGACTGGCTAATGTCAATACTAACCCGAACCCAAACCCTGGTCCTAACATTTATAATTTATTAACATTAACATTCGCTAAAAATTACTAAGCATGAATAAAATTAGTCGAGATTACAATACTAATCTACTAACAATCCAACACACCTATTTTATAGAAGAGTCTATTATTGGACATTTGTATCTAAAATTGGATGATAAGTGCTGCTTGATACAGTGGATAAATGGCAAATGTTGGCATCATTATATGTCATTAAGTGTTAGCCAGTGTTCAATAATAATGCCACAATGATAATGGAATCTTCTTAAAAGTAATTGACTTACTGGTAGTTAACATAATACCAATATTACTCACTAATACTAATGCCATACCAATGTTAACCCAATTCCTAATGCAATTCCTATGGTAATAGAGTGTAAAATTCAACAACTGTAAAATTTAAGCCAAGATTTATTTAAGATAAATCAAAATCTTGATAAAAACACATTTGATCAGATCATAATTAAGTGGGTATCTGGGGACAAAAGTGAATCCAGTTCCAGTACATGTTTTATCAGTTAGATACTAAAATCCTGCATTTTCTTAACAGTTCTTCCACAAAAATTTCTGTACAATAATATGTAAACTCTCATTCATTTGCCTTTTAGTAGGTACTAAAGTTCCCTTTCAAACCTGATGGTCCATGGGGCAATTAAAGTAGACTTCACCTGTTTCTGTCACCTCATCATATAAAGAGATGTCCAGACACCTTTCCTTTACTTTCCCTAATTTGAGTCAGGTACCCATCAGAAGTGGGTGGGCTCAGGGAGGTTTTACGGACTTGAACCTAGATTCAAATTCGAAACTATTCAGGTTACCATTTGATGCCACCTTCTCTTTCATTTGCCTTTTATAAATGGATTGATTTCTACGACAGTTTTATATAATTATAATTTCTTTTTAGATTGGTTTAATTAGTCTTCTCTCGGCATGTGCAAATATTCACAAATCTGGTGCTACCAGTAGGATAAGCTCACAAATCTAATGTGACCAGTTGGTTAAAATTGGGCCATGGATTTCGCTACAAAGAACCTGGACTCAATATTTCGTGGCAAGACTTTGGATGAGGTGTTACAGCAAGACAAAGCACGATGTGATGATTTGGACATCAATGTGATGTGGTACCATGGCAAGATGCAACGAAACAATGCAGAGAGCATCTTACAAGAAGGTAATTATTTCATCCATGAAAAACAATTGGATCTATACAAACTTTCTTCTTACGTCTACTAACTACTATGTGAGAGGTTGTAGCACTACTGTTATACTCTGTCTAGCCAATTACTAGTTCATTCTAAAGTGCGACGACAACAAACCATCCAAATGACTTGATAGAAGTTGCTAGTCAACTAGTTTATTTCACAATACAAATACATTCACCGACTCGTACAATTAATATTGATACTAGATTACATATCCGGCATCACCCCAAGACTGCAAGAACAAGATAATTTTGTTTTTAGATATAATATACACTGGTTAGCCGTGGTGGCTAGTAAAGTTATACAAAAAAATTTTTTTTTAAGTATAGGAATTAAAATAAATGATTATTTTATTAATAAAAATGTTTTAAAAAATCTTATAAAACAAAAACTAATTGCATTGTGGAGCACAATAGCTATCCCAAAAGACCTGATGCTCCAGTATGGTGGGTATGTAACTCAGATTAGGGAAAGTAGAGGTGGCTGGGCATAGAATGGATTTTAATATCCCTTTAATAGAAACAGGTGAACTCTGCTTCAGGTCAAAAAGGGTAACTTTGCTTTTATAAGACATCCAATAATCATGACAAATATGTAAAAGTAATTTGGCTAAATGCTGAAATTATGATTTTTTTTTTTTTGCAAGTTTTGTTTAGTTAGAGTTTATATCATCATCATCTTTTCCTGTTGTTATTCAAGACACACGGGGTAGAAGAAATCGAGTTCATCTGTTTCAATGACCTAAGCATACAGGGGGATAGTATGGTCAGTACTATGGCCAACTTCCTTTTTTTTCCTAACATGAGTCAGAGCTTGGGGGATGTCCTTCAAACATGAATCCAGGATCTGAACTCAAGACTTTTGGGTTAGCAGTCATAAGCTCTACCATCTAACCATGAACCACACCATCCCCAGAGTTTAGATAATGAAACAAAAAACGATATTTTCCTCGTTTTATTTCAGCAATGCAAATCAACCCCAGTCAATAAAATGAAACAAAAAGTGATATTTTCCTCGTTTTATTTCAGCAATGCAAATCAACCCCAGTCAATAAAATGAACCAAAAAACGATATTTTCCTCATTTTATTTCAGCAATGCAAATCAAGCCCAGTCAATAAAATGTAACAAAAAATATTTTCCTCGTTTTATTTCAGCAATGCGACTCAACCCCACCACAGACTCAGATGGTCTATTTCTAGTCAGGGACAGCACAGCCTCAGAAGTAGACTTTTCCCTGTCCTTCTTGTTTGAGTCAAAGTGCTACCACTTCTACATCCAGCGCAGCAAAGAGGGTTATTTTTTTATAGAGGGCGGGCCCATAGTACATGGTATGTCAACATCTCTTTGATTTTTGCCCACAAGGTTATTTTTTTACAGGGCGGTCCTACGCTATAAAGTACATCTAACTGATTTTAGCATACAAGATTATATTTTTACAGGGCGGTCCTACACTCAGAGGCATAGCGACCCCTCCCGTCGCCCGGGAACAAACTTTAAATTTTTTTGCACCCCCCATATATTTTTTATATTTATAATTCAAAATTGCAGCTAAAAAGAGCTTATTTTGGCGCCCCTAGGGTCGGCGCCTGGGTACATATGTTCCCCTCCCCCCCACCCCTTCGCTACGCCTCTGCTTACACTACACTGTATATTAACTGATTTTTGGATTTTTGCCCACAATATTATATTTTTACAGGGCGGTCCTACACTATACAGTACATTTAACTGATTTTAGCATACAAGGTTATATTTTTACATGGCAGTCCTACACTATACAGTACATTTAACTGATTTTAGCATACAAGGTTATATTTTTACATGGCAGTCCTACACTATACAGTACATTTAACTGATTTTAGCATACAAGGTTATATTTTTACTGGGCAGTCCTACACTAAACAGTACATTTAACTGATTTCAGCACAGAGGATTTTTAAATTGATGTCCTGTATTACTCAGTACATCAGACTTACTAAACTTCACTCACAGAATAAAAAAAAATATGAGGTTCTAGTCCTGTATTTCTCAGTACACCTAACTGACTGATTTTAACAAAGAGTCTACTTATTGTATATAAAGTGGCCCTATAATAGATATGCCTACTGATTTTAACAAAGAAACTACTTCTTTTATAGAAGGTGGCCGTATAGTAGATACGCCCACTAGTTTTAACAAAGAAGCTGCTTCTTGTGCATACGGTGGCCCTAAAATAGACCTGTCTACATCGCTAAAGAATTTCTCATCTATAGTCCACAGGGAAGTGAATTAAAGCATGGGAGACAGCATGACATTACACAACAACTAGCTAGAGATAATTACACTTCCTGAATATTTCTTTTATGTTGTCATCAGAATTTAAATAACATTATATATATATATATATATATATATATATATATATATATATATATATATATATATATATATGCACGCACATAAGTGTTATTAATATTAATAATTTATGATACATGTTTAGGAATAATTTTTTTTGGGGGGGGTGGAAGGGGGGTTAGAGTTATGTGATGATGTGCTATAGGGAGCGAGGGGGGGGGGGGGGGGGTTAAAAAATGTGACAGGATAAATTTAAAAAAAATGAAAAGCATTAATGTATATAGAATTTATAGGTATCTGAGGTTTGGTGCTTGGAAGATCGTAACATAATTTTTTTAAACCTCTTTAATTTTTAGGTCTAGAACAGCTGATTGACCACTATGTCCAGTCTGCTAACCGCTTGCCCACTCGTCTCAGTAAAATTTGCAAGGGCACTCTACCTCCCGCTAAAGTGCGCAAGCTGGGGCCGACAAACCTGCTTCATCGGGCCGTAGCAGAGCGTATGTTTAAAGTTGTTGAATCTAAGAATTGATTACTAAACATTTTCTTGTTAGGAATCAGCATGATCAAGTAGGTAAACACATGGTTGCTAAACCGAAAAGTCTTGAGTTCAAAGGAAGCTCGATTTTAGGAAATATTTCTTCTGGGAGAGACGACTCCAAAATCTAACAACTGCTGCTTTGTAGTTGGTTTTTGGTTGGAAAGCAAATCCAAAAAGAAAAACTGGCTGAAATCAGAGTCAACTGTCTAAATAGCGCATAGTCAATTGACACATAATACTTAATTGTGTTTGAGGGAATCCCTGCCACCACTAGAATTAAGAACGAAGAAGAAGAAGTATTCTTACTGAACATTAGTTCAACAAATTGTTAATTAAAGTCAGTTAAATATTCTATGATTCTTATTGAAACCAAAAAAGTAGCTGGATTAAGAAGTACTTAGAAAGCAAATTAGATTCACAAATGTTTTGATTAAAGTTTTGCGTGTATTTGTTCCAGGTCGTGAGGACATTGTAAAGAAAATTTTGGGCCACCCTCTTCAACCAGATATTGATGCAAAGAACGACTCAGGTAATGGATAGAAAATAGGCCGATTCTAGTCGGAATAAGATACGCATGCGATACGCATGCGCAATGGAGAGAAACTACGACTTGCCTTAGCGGCGATGTTTTCGATGGTACTGCGCATGCATGTGTTTACAACCGCAGAACCCTAACACCAACCCTAATCCTATCCTTAACCCTATCCCTAATCCTATCCCTAACCCTAACCCTAGCCCTAATCCTATCTCTAACCCTAGCCCTAATCCTATCCCTAACCCTAGCCCTAATCCTATCCCTAACCCTATCCCTAATCCTCATTCTAGCCCTAACCCTAGCCATAGGTCACTGCGCATGCGGAGAACTATCTTTTGCCGACTAAATGGAGAAGTTGGGGAGAAAAATCTTCTTCCGAGTAGACACTTCGTAGAAAATAGGTAGTAACTATAGATGGTAAATCACAGTAAAAATTTTAATACATAATTTTTTAAATGTTTTTATACTATACTAAAATACTTGTTTACATAACTATTCAAGAAAATATTATGTACCTATTTGGTAAATCATTTGCCAATTTAAAATTAACCAGACTTAAAGTAACCTACTTAAAGTAACCTGTTAAAAATTAACCTGTGTAAAATAACCAGTTTATAATTCACCAGCTGTTGAAAATTAACATGTAGTCTCTAGATAAAAGTTAATGTTTGCCTTTCAGGGTCAACAGCGTTACACGACGCAGTCACTCTCGGCCTAGATAAAACAGTCAGGCTACTCTTAAACCAGGGCGCCAACATTAAAATCAAGGACGTCAATGGAGACACACCGCTACACGTAAGTCACCACAGACCCATCAACTTGCTGGCTTAGTTTAATGATCCCATTAGCACTGAATTTATTTCTTTACTATTCAGATAATAATCATAAACTAACATTTTTTATAAAGTTAACCTATTATTTATGGTAATCCTAGTTTTTCCTTTTAAGAAAAACTTGAGTAATGTATCGTAAAGTAGCTGCTTTTTTATCTAAGGACAGATGAATTTAAGTTCATCTGATTCTGTTAACTATGTATATGGATGGTTAGTGTTGTCAGTTCTGTGGCCATCCATCCCTAATTTGAGTCAGGTACTCATCAGAGCTGGGTTGATTCAGCGACCTAAACAAGTCAAGCCCGGTAACTGAGCTTGCAGTGTTGCAGTCATGTAGTCTGACCATGCCCTCCCATAAGCAAACTTTGATGAGAGGGCAATTTCTTTTTTTATCAACTTGCAACTCAATTTTAATGAGCAGTAACATTTAAGATAGATTTCTTGAATTATTAAGGAAATACTCTATAAAATAATCTTATGAGTGCCATTGCCTTCATCTGGCTCGAAGATTGTCCCATCCCATCCTATGAGTATGTGCCACCATATGAGCGCCATTGCCTTCATCTGGCTCGAAGATTGTCCCATCCTATGAGCATGTGCCACCATATGAGCGCCATTTCCTTCATCTGGCTCTAAGATTGTCCCATCCTATGATCATGTGCCACCATATGAGCGCCATTTCCTTCATCTGGCTCTAAGATTGTCCCATCCTATGAGTATGTGCCACCATATGAGCGCCATTGCCTCCATCTGGCTCTAAGATTGTCCCATCCTATGAGTATGTGCCACCATATGAGCGCCATTGCCTTCATCTGGCTCTAAGATTGTCCCATCCTATGAGTATGTGCCACCATATGAGCGCCATTGCCTTCATCTGGCTCTAAGATTGTCCCATCCTATGAGTATGTGCCACCATATGAGCGCCATTGCCTTCATCTGGCTCTAAGATTGTCCCATCTTATGAGTATGTGCCACCAGCTGTCACTGTGTATGTGGTGTCTACAGAATACCCTCATCAAAGAATTTCTCTCTTTCTACAGAAAGCCTGTGAGGTGAACCGGGCGTCAGCTGTAGTCCTCCTGATCACACACGACAACACGTGTATGCAGGAGAGAAGCCCTCAGACAGGATACGTTGCGCTTCACACGGCAGCGATGCATGGGCATACAGAATGTGCTAATGTAAGGAAGAGATTTTTTTTTTGTTTCTAATAATTAATTGTGTTTCACATCATATAATGGTTGATTGGGCAATCTTTCTCAAGTTATGGCAAGTAAGAAAGTCATATTTAAAAAAAAATTAAACTACAAGATATTTTGCTTTGATGAACAGGGCTATTTACCAGTCATTCATCGAAAATACATTTTCTATCAATTACATTAATTTTTATGACATCACATATTAGTTAATTGAGCAATCATTCTTCTAGCAAGTAAGAAAGTTCTATTTGTTTTAAAAAAAAATTTCAAATAGAACTTTCTTACTTGCTAGACGAAAGATTGCTCAATTAACTAAGACATTTTGTTTTGATCAATAGGGCTAGTCATGAGTCATTCTTCTAAAATATATTTTTCTACTAATCTAAAATGACAACACTAGAAACATTACCACTTTTAATGGTGTTCATTCTTCTAAAATATATTTTTCTACTAATCTAAAATGACAACACTAGAAACATTACCATTATTAATGGTGTTCATTCTTCTAAAATATATTTTTTCTATTTATCTAAACTGACAACACTAGAAACATTACCACTTTTAATGGTGTTCATTCTTCTAAAATATATTTTTCTACTAATCTAAAATGACAACACTAGAAACATTACCATTTTTAATGGTGTTCATTCTTCTAAAATATATTTTTCTACTAATTTAAAATGACAACACTAGAAACATTACCACTTTTAATGGTGTTCATTCTTCTAAAATATATTTTTCTACTAATCTAAAATGACAACACTAGAAACATTACCACTTTTAATGGTGTTCATTCTTCTAAAATATATTTTTCTACTAATCTAAAATGACAACACTAGAAACATTACCACTTTTAATGGTGTTCATTCTTCTAAAATATATTTTTCTACTAATCTAAAATGACAACACTAGAAACATTACCACTTTTAATGGTGTTCATTCTTCTAAAATATATTTTTCTACTAATCTAAAATGACAACACTAGAAACATTACCACTTTTAATGGTGTTCATTCTTCTAAAATATATTTTTCTACTAATCTAAAATGACAACACTAGAAACATTACCACTTTTAATGGTGTTCATTCTTCTAAAATATATTTTTCTACTAATCTAAAATGACAACACTAGAAACATTACCACTTTTAATGGTGTTCATTCTTCTAAAATATATTTTTCTACTAATCTAAAATGACAACACTAGAAACATTACCATTATTAATGGTGTTCATTCTTCTAAAATATATTTTTTCTATTTATCTAAACTGACAACACTAGAAACATTACCACTTTTAATGGTGTTCATTCTTCTAAAATATATTTTTCTACTAATCTAAAATGACAACACTAGAAACATTACCATTATTAATGGTGTTCATTCTTCTAAAATATATTTTTTCTATTTATCTAAACTGACAACACTAGAAACATTACCACTTTTAATGGTGTTCATTCTTCTAAAATATATTTTTCTACTAATCTAAAATGACAACACTAGAAACATTACCATTTTTAATGGTGTTCATTCTTCTAAAATATATTTTTCTACTAATTTAAAATGACAACACTAGAAACATTACCACTTTTAATGGTGTTCATTCTTCTAAAATATATTTTTCTACTAATCTAAAATGACAACACTAGAAACATTACCACTTTTAATGGTGTTCATTCTTCTAAAATATATTTTTCTACTAATCTAAAATGACAACACTAGAAACATTACCACTTTTAATGGTGTTCATTCTTCTAAAATATATTTTTCTACTAATCTAAAATGACAACACTAGAAACATTACCACTTTTAATGGTGTTCATTCTTCTAAAATATATTTTTCTACTAATCTAAAATGACAACACTAGAAACATTACCATTATTAATGGTGTTCATTCTTCTAAAATATATTTTTCTACTAATCTAAAATGACAACACTAGAAACATTACCACTTTTAATGGTGTTTTATCTGCAGGTGTTGTTGAATGCTGGCGCAGCCTTGTATTCCAGAAATACAAATGAAGAAACACCCATAGAGTTAGCGGAGAAGTTTAGGCGGACAGAGTGTGTTGAGCTGTTTAGTGAGTTTGTTTAGCTTTTTACTAAGTTTAGCAGCATTTCATTTCAGTTTCACTGAATTTTATTTAGCCAACTTTTTTATGCCAATCATTTAGTGAGTTTGTTTAGCTTTTTACTAAGTTTAGCAGCATTTCATTTCAGTTTCACTGAATTTTATTTAGCCAACTTTTTTATGCCAATCATTTTTATTAACATTTAAATCATTACTTAATGTTTTTGGTTTTGCAATAACTAAAGCAATGTATCATTGTTAAAGTGTGTCAAGTGAGTTCATACTTATTTAAAACTTGCAGCTAGTTTCAAAGAGCATCCTGTGGACACACAAAAGTCGGACTGGTTTCACCCAGAGCTAGATCGGCAGGTGATAATTTATTTTTATGGCACCATTCACGTTCACGTGTTTTCACATTACCCAAGCTATATTTAAAAATTTCTTTATAATAGTACACTGTGTTCGCCCGTTTTCTGAATGTAAATAGCTTTATTCCATGGTTATTATAATTTACATTCCTGTAATTGAGGAAAGCTTGAAACCAAAAATTTCTTTTCAAAATCACCATTGTTATCCTAGTGGAATATAATATTGTTAACCTTTTATATTTCTAATGTTTTTTTGTCTTCATTAATTGTATAGCCATATCTATGGGGTTATTGCCCTTATCCTGTTAGCCGTACACCTTTATTACTGTGACATAGAGCCGTACTGTCATTATGTTTGTCTGTTTGCGTTCTTCAAGGGAGCAGAAAATGTATTCAACAGTCAACCACTTATTCTGTTAGCCTTACACATTTATTACTTTAACATAGAGCCTTACTGTCATTATGTTTGTCTGTTTGTATTCTTCAAGGGAGCAGAAAATGTATTCAACAGTCAACCCCTTATTCTGTTAGCCTTACACATTTATTACTGTAGCCGTACTGTCATTATGTTTGTCTGTTTGTGTTCTTCAAGGGAGCAGAAAATGTATTCAACAGTCAACCCCTTATTCTGTTAGCCGTACACCTTTATTACTGTAGTCGTACTGTCATTATGTTTGTCTGTTTGTATTCTTCAAGGGAGCAGAAAATGTATTCAACAGTCAACCACTGACTAGTGGGCTGTTCCTGATTCGGCCGAATAAAAATATGGAAGGTCAATATGTCCTCAGTCTGGTGAAAGACAAAAGTGTTTATCATTATGAGATTAAAACCAAGGTAAGACATGCCCCAGCTGTAGTTTTCTTCTAAGTGGTGTTATATGTTGGCATAATTGTCTTAAAATTATTTATTATCTCAAAAAATATTTAAATTTTTTTTTAGCATTCTTTACATCATTTTCTACTAATTTTCAAGAATTCTTTTTCTTAATTTTGCTTTCATGATTTTATACCATCGCTTATTGATGCATTGTTGTTTTAAGTGTGTTTTATTCTCTCCATTGCTTTTTATTTTTATTTCCTAACTAGTAAGTAAAGCAAAGTTCCCTTTTCAAACCTGACGGTCTATAGGGCATGTGAAGTAGAGTTCACTTGTTTCTGTGCCCAGCTGCTTTTACTTTCCCTAACGTGTGTTAGGTACCCATCAGAGTTGGGTGGACTCAGGGACGGTCCACTGATTTGAACCCGGATTCGAACTCGAGACTTACGGGTTAGCAGTCCAGCTCTCTACCGCTAGACCACTCCGTCCCCCTAACTACTGCAACTAATCTACAAATGTTTGTCAACTGCAGGAGTACAGGAATTCTATTGTTCACTACATAGACGACGGACCCCTGCATCTCTCACTAGAGCTGCTCGTTCAGTATTACCACAATTTTGAGGATGGGCTGGGTGTTCCACTACGTGCATCCATATCAACCAGTTCGTCTTGTTTTTTTTATTTCCTCAATATAGTTACAATATATAAAATTAACTCTATTATACTAGTCAGAAAACTTGAATGTGTCTTTCTTTTTTGTTTCCTCAAATTAGTTACAATACGTAAAATTAATTTTATTCTAATAGTCAGAGAACTTAAGTGAGTTTTTTTTTTAAGATGGGTTTATAACAATGTCTAAAATTGAACAGTCATTAAATGGTTGTTATATTTGGTTTACTCAGTCCTGAAAAATGTAACAAGAAGTAATGTAATACTGAATTGTTAGTATGAAAATTATAATCCTGTTTTAAACTTATTATCAATCAGTTACTAAAAATGGCTTTTTTAAAAACTTTAAAAAGAATATTGTTTCTATGATTGTATGCTTAAAAAAATTATCTATGCGATTGTACTTTTCAGATAACAAAGTGAAGGAGTTAATAATCCAGGAGGTTTACAGTAATTTGGTGTCTCCCAGGTCACCCAGCATCAACCCATTGTCTCATCCAAGTAAGTTGTCCAGTCCCTTGTCACAGTAAGTTGTCCAGTCCCTTAAATCAGTAAGTTGTCCAGTCCCTTGTCACAGTAAGTTGTCCAGTCCCTTGTTACAGTAAGTTGTCCAGTCCCTTGTTACAGTAAGTTGTCCAGTCCCTTAAATCAGTAAGTTGTCCAGTCCCTTGTTACAGTAAGTTGTCCAGTCCCTTGTTACAGTAAGTTGTCCAGTCCCTTTGATGGTCACCATAAGTTGTCCAGTCCCTTGTATGGTCACAGTAAGTTGTCCAGTCCCTTGTATTGTCACAGTAAGTTGTCCAGTCCCTTGTATGGACACAGTAAGTTGTCCAGTCCCTTGTTACAGTAAGTTGTCCAGTCCCTTGTTACAGTAAGTTGTCCAGTCCCTTGTATTGTCACAGTAAGTTGTCCAGTCCCTTGTATGGTCACAGTAAGTTGTCCAGTCCCTTGTCACAGTAAGTTGTCCAGTCCCTTGTTACAGTAAGTTGTCCAGTCCCTTGTATTGTCACAGTAAGTTGTCCAGTCCCTTGTATTGTCACAGTAAGTTGTCCAGTCCCTTGTTACAGTAAGTTGTCCAGTCCCTTGTTACAGTAAGTTGTCCAGTCCCTTGTTACAGTAAGTTGTCCAGTCCCTTTGATGGTCACCATAAGTTGTCCAGTCCCTTGTATGGTCACAGTAAGTTGTCCAGTCCCTTGTATTGTCACAGTAAGTTGTCCAGTCCCTTGTATGGACACAGTAAGTTGTCCAGTCCCTTGTTACAGTAAGTTGTCCAGTCCCTTGTTACAGTAAGTTGTCCAGTCCCTTGTATTGTCACAGTAAGTTGTCCAGTCCCTTGTATGGTCACAGTAAGTTGTCCAGTCCCTTGTCACAGTAAGTTGTCCAGTCCCTTGTTACAGTAAGTTGTCCAGTCCCTTGTATTGTCACAGTAAGTTGTCCAGTCCCTTGTATGGTCACAGTAAGTTGTCCAGTCCCTTGTCACAGTAAGTTGTCCAGTCCCTTGTTACAGTAAGTTGTCCAGTCCCTTGTATTGTCACAGTAAGTTGTCCAGTCCCTTGTATGGTCACAGTAAGTTGTCCAGTCCCTTGTCACAGTAAGTTGTCCAGTCCCTTGTTACAGTAAGTTGTCCAGTCCCTTGTTACAGTAAGTTGTCCAGTCCCTTGTTACAGTAAGTTTTCCAGTCCATTGTTGGTCACAGTAAGTTGTCCAGTCCCTTGTATGGACACAGTAAGTTGTCCAGTCCCTTGTCACAGTAAGTTGTCCAGTCCCTTGTTACAGTAAGTTGTCCAGTCCCTTGTTACAGTAAGTTGTCCAGTCCCTTGTTACAGTAAGTTTTCCAGTCCATTGTTGGTCACAGTAAGTTGTCCAGTCCCATGTATGGTCACCATAAGTTGTCCAGTGCCTTGTATGGTCACAGTAAGTTGTCCAGTCCCTTGTATGGTCACTGTAAGTTGTCCAGTCCCTTGTATGGTCACAGTAAGTTGTCCAGTCCCTTGAATGGTCACAGTAAGTTGTCCAGTCCCTTGTATGGACACAGTAAGTTGTCCAGTCCCTTGTATGGACACAGTAAGTTGTCCAGTCCATTGTTGGTCACAGTAAGTTGTCCAGTCCATTGTTGGTCACAGTAAGTTGTCCAGTCCATTGTTGGTCACAGTAAGTTGTCCAGTCCCTTGTATGGACACAGTAAGTTGTCCAGTCCATTGTTGGTCACAGTAAGTTGTCCAGTCCATTGTTGGTCACAGTAAGTTGTCCAGTCCCTTGTATGGACACAGTAAGTTGTCCAGTCCATTGTTGGTCACAGTAAGTTGTCCAGTCCCTTGTATGGTCACTGTAAGTTTCCAGTCCCTTGTATGGTCACAGTAAGTTGTCCAGTCCCTTGAATGGTCACAGTAAGTTGTCCAGTCCCTTGTATGGTCACAGTAAGTTGTCCAGTCCCTTGTATGGTCACTGTAAGTTGTCCAGTCCCTTGTATGGACACAGTAAGTTGTCCAGTCCCTTGTATGGACACAGTAAGTTGTCCAGTCCATTGTTGGTCACAGTAAGTTGTCCAGTCCATTGTTGGTCACAGTAAGTTGTCCAGTCCATTGTTGGTCACAGTAAGTTGTCCAGTCCCTTGTATGGACACAGTAAGTTGTCCAGTCCATTGTTGGTCACAGTAAGTTGTCCAGTCCATTGTTGGTCACAGTAAGTTGTCCAGTCCCTTGTATGGACACAGTAAGTTGTCCAGTCCATTGTTGGTCACAGTAAGTTGTCCAGTCCCTTGTATGGACACAGTAAGTTGTCCAGTCCATTGTTGGTCACAGTAAGTTGTCCAGTCCCTTGTATGGACACAGTAAGTTGTCCAGTCCATTGTTGGTCACAGTAAGTTGTCCAGTCCATTGTTGGTCACAGTAAGTTGTCCAGTCCATTGTTGGTCACAGTAAGTTGTCCAGTCCATTGTTGGTCACAGTAAGTTGTCCAGTCCATTGTTGGTCACAGTAAGTTGTCCAGTCCATTGTTGGTCACAGTAAGTTGTCCAGTCCCTTGTATGGACACAGTAAGTTGTCCAGTCCATTGTTGGTCACAGTAAGTTGTCCAGTCCCTTGTATGGACACAGTAAGTTGTCCAGTCCATTGTTGGTCACAGTAAGTTGTCCAGTCCCTTGTATGGACACAGTAAGTTGTCCAGTCCATTGTTGGTCACAGTAAGTTGTCCAGTCCATTGTTGGTCACAGTAAGTTGTCCAGTCCATTGTTGGTCACAGTAAGTTGTCCAGTCCATTGTTGGTCACAGTAAGTTGTCCAGTCCATTGTTGGTCACAGTAAGTTGTCCAGTCCATTGTTGGTCACAGTAAGTTGTCCAGTCCATTGTTGGTCACAGTAAGTTGTCCAGTCCATTGTTGGTCACAGTAAGTTGTCCAGTCCATTGTTGGTCACAGTAAGTTGTCAAGTCCATTGTTGGTCACAGTAAGTTGTCCAGTCCCTTGTATGGACACAGTAAGTTGTCCAGTCCCTTGTATGGACACAGTAAGTAGTCCAGTCCATTGTTGGTCACAGTAAGTTGTCCAGTCCATTGTTAGTCACAGTAAGTTGTCCAGTCCATTGTTGGTCACAGTAGGTTGTCCAGTCCCTTGTATGGACACAGTAAGTTGTCCAGTCCATTGTTGGTCACAGTAAGGTGTCCAGTCCTTTCTATGGTCACCATAAGTTGTCCAGTCCCTTGTATGGACACAGTAAGTTGTCCAGTCCATTGTTGGTCACAGTAAGTTGTCCAGTCCCTTGTATGGACACAGTAAGTTGTCCAGTCCATTGTTGGTCACAGTAAGTTGTCCAGTCCATTATTGGTCACAGTAAGTTGTCCAGTCCCTTGTATGGACACAGTAAGTTGTCCAGTCCCTTGTTGGTCACAGTAAGTTGTCCAGTCCCTTGTATGGACACAGTAAGTTGTCCAGTCCATTGTTGGTCACCATAAGTTGTCCAGTCCATTGTTGGTCACAGTAAGTTGTCCAGTCCATTGTTGGTCACCATAAGTTGTCCAGTCCCCTGTATGGTCACAGTAAGTTGTCCAGTCCCTTGTTGGTCACAGTAAGTTGTCCAGTCCCCTGTATGGTCACAGTAAGTTGTCCAATCTCTTAACTGCTCTCTACACGTGATCAGAGTCTCCCTACCCTAATCTCTCAACCATGTAAATTGTCTAGTACATTTAGTAGTAACTTTACCGTGTATTCCCCTCACCACTCAAATTCATCAACCCAGTCACTTGATGTGTGATCATTGCTGGACATCCACATAGATGTCCCCCCCCCCCCCCCTGTATGTGATTTCCAAATGACCAGGGCCCCATAACACATCAAATTTTTTATCAGAAAGTTGGCCAATCTTTTGTTTTGTTAAAATTTGAAAAGTATAATTAAATTTCAACTCAATTTATTTAGCAATGAATCCATCAAATCAGTAAAGTTTTATTTGCTCTTACAGACCGCATATATTATTGGTTTGAATGTCATGTATTTTTAAACTATGATGAGCTGATTACATTAATCTGTCACGTTTATTCTGTACCTGTATTTTAAACTATGATTGGCTGATTACATTAATCTGCCTTGTTTATTCTGTACCTGTATTTTAAACTATGATCAGCTGATTACATTAATCTGTCATGTTTATTCTGTATCTGTATTTTAAACTATGATGGGCTGATTACATTAATCTACCATGTTTATTCTGTACCTGTATTTTAAACTATGATCAGCTGATTACATTAATCTGCCTTGTTTATTCTGTACCTGTATTTTAAACTATAATCAGCTGATTACATTAATCTGCCTTGTTTATTCTGTACCTGTATTTTAAACTATGATTGGCTGATTACATTAATCTGCCATGTTTATTCTGTACCTGTATTTTAAACTATGATCAGCTGATTACATTAATCTGCCTTGTTTATTCTGTACCTGTATTTTAAACTATCATCGGCTAATTTCATTAATCTGTCATGTTTATTCTGCTGCAGATGCCTATAAGCCTAGGTTACCTCCACGCCCACAAGAGTTAGAATCTCCACCACCAATGGAAAGTCCACCACTTCCTGTGAGTTCACGTCTGCTCTCTGTATTTTCATTTTTATTAATTTTTTTAGTCTAAGATTTCTATTTACTTCATGTATTTTTTTAGATTGAAAAATATCCATTAAAAATGTTTTGGTTGGACTTACATTTTTTTTTCTATTTTTCCTTTTTTTAAAAAATTCACAGCCAACACCATCTATAGCTGAAGATAAAGATGACTCAAAGAAAATAACAGTGAAAAAAGAAGAAGAAAAAGAGGAACTCAAAAAAATTTCTCCGAAAAATATAAAATTAGGTTTGTTATTATAAGTTAATTTAGTGTTAAAATAATAAAAAATAGTAGGCTTGTTATAAAAATAAGTAAGATTATAATTGGGATGAAGACTTTATTATGAAATGTTCTTAAATTTGTCTATTTCTTAAAGTTGTCTGTTTTTCTTTGATTGCTATTTAATTTCAACAATTGCACAAAAGTGCTAAACATGTGCTGCTTTCTGTTACAAAATTGTAACACCAAATTATTCTGTGTAAATCTACATAGGATTTAATGTTTATCTTTCTCCTAATAACCATTCTAATTTTGTCAACAGGAAACGAGCTAGGCAAGGGGGAGTATGGATCTGTCATGAAAGGGGAGCTAATTATGGAAAAGAAATTTCTCAAAAAGGACAAGGTAAAACTTCATGATAATGTTTGGCTCTGGATGTAACCTGGATTTAAAAACTAACATTATACTTTTTTAGTGTCTTCATGATCATACAATATCTGTACAGTAGATGGTTAATCAGCTCAATTTTGAAATGTTCTACCATGATATATATATATATATATATATATATATATATATATATATATATATATATATATATATATATATATATATATATATATATATATATATATATATATATATATATATATATATATATATATATATATATATATATATATATATATATATATATATATATATATATATATATATATATATATATATATATATATAGTAAAATATATTTTTCTTCTGAAATTCCATTTCTTTCCCATCTTGTTTATCCTAATGAAGACCTTTGCTTTTGAGTTAGATTTGTTAAACCAGAATTGATTTTTAAAAATGGGAGGCGATTCATAGCTACCTTTGTATTATAGTAATCCTTTCAACCAAACAAGATTAATTGTTTTTGATTTGTGTTTTTATAACTTTTTGTAGATTCCGGTCGCTATAAAGACCTTCCATGCCGTTGGAAGTATGGAAGACTTCAAGGCTGAGGCTTATGTCATGCAGTCTCTGAAAAATGATTACATTGTTCAACTGCTGGGGGTGTGTGAGGGGCCCCCTTTAATGTTGGTGAGTCTTGCTACTAAATGTGGGGGGTGTGTGAGGGCCCCCCTTTAATGTTGGTGAGTCTTGCTGCTAAATATGGGGTGTGTGTGAGGGGCCCCCTTTAATGTTGGTGAGTCTTGCTGCTAAATATGGGGGGGGGAGGGTATGAGGGGCCCATTCAAGGTTGGTGAGTTTTGCTACTTAATATGGGGTATGTGTGAGGGGCCCCCTTTAATGTTGGTGAGTCCAGTTACTAAATATTGGGGGGTGTGTGTGAGGGGCCCCCTTTAATGTTGGTGAGTCCAGTTACTAAATATGGGGGGGGGGGGGTGTGTGTGTGAGGGGCCCCCTTAATGTTGGTGAGTTTTGCTACTAAATAAGGGGAGTGTGTGAGGGGCCCCCTTTAATGTTAGTGAGTCTGGTTGTCTATTTGGCTGATGAAGTAGCATTCACCTATTTATGTGATCTTGGCATATGATGGGATAGTTTGGTCCGCACCATACCCAGCTGTCTTGGCTTTCCCTAACATGATTCAGACACCCATCAGCTGGGGTGAGGGACGTCCCACAGCCTGGATTCTGGTATACAATCTTGAGACTTTCGGGTTAGCAACCGTAAGCTCTACCAAATAACCACACTGTCCCACTCCTAGACTTTAACTGCACTTGAAATTAATGTACTTGTTTTTAACCATTTCTTCAGGTCGAAGAGTTTGTTCCTATGGGGTCCATGTTGGATTACCTTGAGGACCACCCAGAGAAGGTCAGGGTCAAGCAGGAGCTGTACCTGTGGGCAGCGCAGATAGCCCAGGGCATGATGTATCTGGAGACCAAGAGGCTTGTGCACAGAGATCTGGCGGCCAGGAATATCTTGCTGCACTCCTTACAGAAGGTAACTCAACTCACTCCTTACAGAAGGTAACTCAACTCACTCCTTACAAAGGGTAACCTCACACATTCCTTACAGATGGTAAACTAAGCCACTCCTTACAGAAGGTAACCCAACCCACTCCTTACAGAAGGTAGCCCAACCCACTCCTTACAGAAGGTAATCTAAGCCATTCATTACAGAAGGTAACATAAGCCATTCCTTACAGAAGGTAATCTAAGCCTTTATTACAGAAGGTAATCTAAGCCATTCTTACAGAAGGTAATCTAAGCCATTCCTTACAGAAGGTAATCTAAGCCATTCCTTACAGAAGGTAGCATAAGCCATTCCTTACATAAGGTAATCTAAGCCATTCCTTACAGAAGGTAATCTAGGCCATTCCTTACAGAGGTAATCTAAGCCATTCCTTACAGAAGGTAATCTAGGCCATTCCTTACAGAAGGTAATCTAGGCCATTCCTTACAGAGGTAATCTAAGCCATTCCTTACAGAAGGTAATCTAGGCCATTCCTTACAGAGGTAATCTAAGCCATTCCTTACAGAAGGTAATCTAGGCCATTCCTTACAGAGGTAATCTAAGCCATTCCTTACAGAAGGTAATCTAAGCCATTCCTTACAGAAGGTAATCTGGACTTGGGTCATGTTACCCTTCTAGACCTGTTGTTCAATAGAGTATGTGAGGTAGAGTTCCCCTCTTTCTGTGACTTTAAAATGTAAAGGGATAGAGTGGTCACATCTGCCTTTACTTGAGTTGGTTACCCAAAACAGCAGGCTGGACTGAGATATCCTATAGACTTGAGCATGGGATCTGAACCCTGAGGCTTTAGGTACACAGTTATGCGCCCTACCACCCACCATTACCAACTCATATGTTACCCTCTACAAGAGTCCATGTAATAATTTTAACTTTCCAAATTTTCTAGGTAAAAATTAGTGACTTTGGCTTATCAAGAGCCATGGGGACAGATAAAGAATATTACAAGGCAACAAAAGGTGGACGCTGGCCCATCAAGTGGTGAGTTACTGAACTCATTGGTTACAGGCCAATAGCTGATTGTTCTTTTTTTTTAGTAACAGTATATATGTTACGGTCAAAGCCCGAAGTCGGCCAATGCTAGGATTGGCCGGCCAATCTGCGCATTGGCCAATATCGCCTCCCATAGGTCGGTCAATGTCCGAAATTTTGCTTGATTTCAGCCTTTGGCCGGCCAATCCGCAGACTGGCCATGGTGGACCGGCCAAAGTCTGCAATAGAAGATCATCTGGCTAGGGACGACCGGCCAAAGTGCGAATTGGAAGATCATGAGCAGATTTTGTTTTTTTTTATGCCGTAAGGATCATGAAATTAAGTCTTTATTGATTATTAATAAAAGTAAATGACAGAAATATTCAAATTTTTTTATTGTACTATAGTCTCAATCTATCAATATCATCATTTGTTACAACAAGTTGAACTTTTATGGCATTTAGAATTACATAGTAGCTTGTTATTTTTACACTTGCAGCGATTTGTTGTGCACTTAGTTGTGCAATTGCAGCGAGTGTAGCCTTTACCCCCAGTCAATGACTGTGAAGATGCAATGGTTCTTAGTGATTTTTCCTCAGTGCCAACTGACGACAATAAGAGCAGTTTTTCGTGAAGAATTGAAAACTCACTTCTAGCATACAGTTGTTTTAGAACACCATGTTCCGTTCCTAATATGTAGAAACCGCCCTCGACGCTCATGACAACTGCAATCACGCTTCGGGGATCACCGTGACCTCTGTCAACATCTGGAAAACGGATGCGCACATTGTCACCCACTTCACCATCTTTAAATTTTGTATTTGATGTTTTAAGCATCTTAGCACCTTGAGTTTGCAAGCCAGTATGAGCTGCTGATCTTTGTTCCATGATGTCTTGTTTGTTGTGACACAATCTGCAGGTAATGTTCCCTCCGTACCCTTCGTCTGCTTCATTGGGTATTCCACAAATAGCATAAACATCGTTGCCACAGGATCCAAAAGAATGAGCTGCACTACAATGTTTTTCACAAACTATACAGAATCTGTTGGCCACATTATTGTCACGCAACTGGTCTGGGCGTTCCGCCACGGCAGTAGATGTGTTAGCTGAGGATGTCGTTGCATTTATGTCAACCTCCATTTCTTGTTCAATGTTCTCAAGATCTTCCTCAGTAACTATTTTATCGAGAGCCCATATATGGAAACTAACATGGATTTACATTTTTTTTTCTTTTGATAGCCATCTGCTATGTCTGTCTCATGGTCTGACGGCCCTTTTGATCCATGTCGCCTTGCATATAGAATGCTATACAAACAAGAGCTAAACAATACGTTACTCTCAATGAAAACGCACCCAGAATAATGAAAATGCGATCACAACTTAGTCTAGATAGAACATTGGCCAGGACAATCCCGGCCAGTGCGCGCATTGGCCGGCCAATGTACAAAATACGCTGTCAAGTTTAAGCGCTTCGGACTTTGGCCAGTACGTCCCGGCCAGTGCGCGCATTGGTACGAAATACGATCTTAGTGCAAAGCTTTTCGGGCTTTGGCCAAGAGAGCTGGCCAATGCGCGGATTGGTAGGCCAATCCGCGCTTTGGCCGCACTTCGGGCTTTGACCGTAACATATACAAACACATCTTGACAAATTAGACAACAGTGATGTTTTACAGTTTATTTTCATATAACTTCTTGAAATTTTTGGAAATTAAAAAATAAAAACCTACATTAGTTTTAATTAGGCTAAAATGTATTCAGGATTAAATAAATTTTGTTGTTTAATAATTAAAAGGAAATAAACTAAACACTAGGAAATTATTGTTGTTACACTTAAGCTACACTCATGACTTTGCTGTACATCCTATATTTAGTTTAAGTTCCCTTTTCAAACCTGACGGTCTATAGGGCAAGTGAAGCAGAGTTCACTTGTTTCTGTGACCTCGGCATATGAAGAGATAGTGTGGTCAGCACTATGCCCAGCCGCCTTTACTTTCCCTAACATGAGTTAGGTACCCATCAGAGTTGGGTAAACTCAGGGACGGTCTACTGACTTGAACCCGGATTCGAACTCGAGACTTACGGGTTAGCAGTCCAGGTCTCTACCTATAGGCCACTCCGTCCCCTATATTTAGTTTAAAGAGGCTTAAACTTGGATGATGTGTACTGTTTGGTTGGCGATGTGCCCATCATTTGTTGAGAACTTAGTTTATCATCATATGTAGGGTCACATTAAAGGCAACTCAAAAACAGTAGAATAAATAGTTGTTACTATGTTTTATCAAGGCTTTGTGTCAATGATTAGTTAGGTCTGGGGTAAGGTTTAAGATTATGTTTACGGTTAAGTTAGCAACATCTCAACAGTGCACTTATAAAGTTTCTATTCTAGACGTTGTCTGTCCCCACGCAGGTATGCCCCTGAAAGCGTCAACTTCGGACATTTCTCACACGCCAGTGATGTGTGGAGCTATGGCGTCACACTGTGGGAGATGTTCTCATACGGGGGAGCGCCGTTTGAAGACATGACTGGCGTGGAGGTGAGGAATTTTTTACACAAAATTAGAAATTTGATTGTAGCCCTACTATCACGTTTGAGGCTGGGCCGTTTGAAGACATGACTGGTGTGGAGGTGAGGAATTTTTTACACAAAATTAGAAATTTGATTGTTCTGATTTGAGTAGCCCTACTATCACTTTTGAGGCTGGGCAAAGTGCTGACCACACTGTCCCTTCATATGCCGAGGTCAAGAAACATGAACTCTACTTCATCTACGCAATGGATTGCTAGGTCTAAAGAGGATTCTTTACTTAACTAGCACCTGTATGATATGTCAATTCAAACATGACTTTTCATAGATATCTATATATATAATTCTCTTCTGGGAGACGCTAGAATACAAGCTGTAAACGCGCTCCCTACCACTCCCACCCCTACATGGTCTTAGTGAGCTCTAAATGTTTACAAACAGAGCCGGGTTTAGTGACGGCTATTAGGGGCAGATAATTTAGTTTGAAACGATTTTAAACGTAGGGGGGGGAGGGGGGACGGAAGGGGGGGGGGGTTATGGTCCTTAACGTGCTACTTATAGTGTTTTAAAGAAATATTTTCAGTGTCAGCGTTGGTACCGTCGAATTCACAAATTATGAATTACTGAAAAGTAGAAAAAACAACAACTAAAATAGCGGCGTATGTTATGCCGCGGGCCGGCTCGTTTATTATAAAAATTCAAGTTCCCCTTTTGAATCTTATGATCCTTACCCAACCTGTAGGACCAGGGTACTAGCTTTTTGTATGGCCCCTACCCACACAGATCTTTCTAACTTAGTTTAATCTGTCAGGAGTTTACACTCCAGCTGGTATAGATAAGATGGTCCTAGGTTACTAGCGAGCCTTTGTTTCCATACCTGTGTAAAATAACCATAGGATTAAGGTGGACCCCTACAGACTGGTGTCTGAGATCCGAACTCGTGACTCTCTGGTTAGCACTCAAGCACTCTACCACCTGACCACACTGTTATGAAGTAATCTGTTCCTGGGACTTGTATTGTTTCAGTTTATATGAATAAAATAGTAATTTACTGTTGTACATTGTATTGTTTAGGTTATAAATTAATTTACCTCTACTGCCCATATATTGTATTGCTTAGGTTATAAATTAGTTGGCCTCTACCCCCTGAATATTGTTTTGTTTAGGTTATAAATTAGTTGAACTTTACCCCCTATACTTTATATTGTTTAGGTTATAAATTAGTTGACTTCTACCCCCTATACTTTATATAGTTTAGGTTATAAATTAGTTTACCTCTACCCCCTATATTTTTATTGTTTAGGCTATAAATTAGTTAACCTAGACCCATATATTTTGTATTGTTTAGGTTATAAATTAGTTGACATTTACCCTATACTTTGTATTGTTTAGGTTATAAATTAGTTGACCTTTACCCCCTATACTTTATATTGTTTAGGTTATAAAGTTCATTGAGGATGGCAACAGACTGGATAAGCCTGAGAAATGCCCCACCGTGGTTTATGACATCATGCTGCGCTGTTGGTCAGCCGAGCCGGTCAGCAGGCCAACGTTTACTTGGCTCAATAAGCATTTTGAAGAGGAGCCGGAGTACATGAGTACGCGGGAGTTGATGCGCACTGCCAGAACACAGTAAAGCCTTGGGTCAGTGTGCCAGATCAATTTTTAAGCCTTGGGTCAGCGTGCCAGATAATATTTTTAAGTCTTGGGTCATGTGCCAGATCAATTTTTAAGTCTTGGGTCAGTGTGCCAGATCAATTTTTAAGTCTTGGGTCATGTGCCAGATCAAGTTTTAAGTCTATGGTCACTATGTCTTAAGGGTCAGGGTTTAATAAATCCTCAGGTCACTGTGCCAGATTTTTAGCCTTAGGCCTTAACAGGCTTTTGGTCCTTTTTACAGCTTGGGTAGCCTTAAGTTGGTACTGTATTCCTAAATTACATCAACTTAAATTTTTACCTTTTGAATGTCGCCATGTTACATAATGTAATGTATGACCCTTAGGTAGCCTTACGTTGGTACTGTATTCCTAAATTACATCAGCTTAAATTTTTACCTTTGGAATGTCGCCATGTTACATAATGTAATGTATGACCCTTAGGTAGCCTTATGTTGGTTCTGTATTCCTAAATTACATCAACTTAAATTTTTACCTTTGGAATGTCGCCATTTTACATAATGTAATGTATGACCCTTAGGTAGCCTTACGTTGGTACTGTATTCCTAAATTACATCAGCTTAAATTTTTACCTTTGGAATGTCGCCATGTTACATAATGTAATGTATGACCCTTAGGTAGCCTTACGTTGGTACTGTATTCCTAAATTACATCAGCTTAAATTTTTACCTTTGGAATGTCGCCATGTTACATAATGTAATGTATGACCCTTAGGTAGCCTTACGTTGGTATTGTATTCCTAAATTACATCAGCTTAAATTTTTACCTTTGGAATGTCGCCATGTTACATAATGTAATGTATGACCCTTAGGTAGCCTTACGTTGGTACTGTATTCCTAAATTACATCAGCTTAAATTTTTACCTTTGGAATGTCGCCATGTTACATAATGTAATGAATGACCCTTAGGTAGCCTTATGTTGGTACTGTATTCCTAAATTACATCAATTTTTACCTTAGAAATGTCGCCATGTTTGACATAATGTAATGTACGACCAGTGTTGATATATTATTTGACAGCAGGCCTGTCATGTTATTGTTCCTTTAATTTTTTTCATGTATTTCTTGTTTTCGAATACAACGCAACCCTAGTTGGTTGATAATAGAATGTGTTGCCATAAATACATGTAATAATTTTTTTTATATATTAAACTGACTGTGATCAGTTACGTTCACACTTTAAACTAGTTGCTTATATATATTTTCTTCTTGGTACTCACATTATTAATCCACATTTTAAAAATTTAACAATTAATTAAAATAGTTAGTTTAGATGTTTTTTTATTCTCTATCTGCATCTTTACAGTTATTTTTACACCCAGTAATTCGACAGTTGCAATTGATAAAAATAAATCAACAAAAAAATGTGTCAATTTAATCATCCTGTGTGATAAAAATAATTCTTTTAATAATTTCTTCTGAGAGTTGCGCCCCCTCATTTTTTAGACCCCCCCCTCATTCCCAATTGCTAATATTATCATAGGTCTGTATGGTAGTTCTGTTTGACACTTTTAAAGATGGCTTTAATAAAATACTTACTACTACATAAATGAATATCTAAATGGCTATCTGAAAGGATTTGAACGATGGCTATGCAGTCTAACTTTGTGTAGGGGTACTGGTTCACGCTGGCTAGTAGTCTACCTTTGTGTAAATATTGGTGGACTGGTATAAATTTTTGTAAAGATGCCCTGTATAATTCAAATGCTGTAGTAAGTTACAAAGTAGCTAGTAAGTCTTATCAATACTATGGAGTTACAGTAACTCATTCAATGTATTGAAAGAACACTCCTCATTTGTTGGTTTAAAAAAGTATCCTGTTCCTCTGATCTCTGTTGTTCACCCAGCTCTATATGTTTTAGGACCAACATCTGCCTGCTCAAGTTCATTCTCTTTTCTTTGTCAACATGAACACCGACTTACTGTCCATGATTCCATTTAAAAATAATTCTTTAATTTTTCTTTAAATTTAAATTTTTAAAAAATCTCTTAAGTTTAATATTACATTAAAATATTACCCATATTTTCTTTACTTTTTATTTCATTTCTTCAATATGTTTTAATTTCTTCATATCTATTTACCTTTGCTCATCATCCATTTAGTATAAAGGTTTTATTTCTTCTTTCTTTTAGCTTTCAAACGCCCCTATAACTCTTGGTTTGGTAGTTGCACATCTTAGATTGGTTTACCGCTTATGTTTTAGCACCTTTGATCAAGTTATTAATTTTAAAAGACTTACTGAGTAATGTAATATGGCACAAAAGGGATTTGGCAATTAAATTTTATTTTAAGATTTTTGTTTAAAAATATTTATTTAATTGAACTAACATAAGTAAAATAAAAACTTGATTTAACTTCAAATGAAAAAAAATGTAAGGATAAATTGAACCTTTTGTAAAAGGCTCAATGCAATATTTACAATAATTTCTAAGAAAATGTATTTATTAGACATTGTGCTCTCCCCTTATTTGAGTAATCTCCCCTAGATAACTTTTTAATAATAACTTTCAAAAACATTAATAGACTAAACTGAGTTATAGATAAAGCTTAATTGAGGTACAAAATACATTTTAATCCACAGTAAAATTTGTATTGATAAAGCTGAATTGATGTTCAAAATACATTTTAATCCAAAGTAAATTTTGAAAATGTACTTGTAAATTTTCAAATTTTTATATCCAATGTTACTCAGCATTTGCATGTTTGTTTAAAATCCTGTTATTGTTTATACGTAATATAATTAAGTAAATTATTGCAAACGGCTCAATTTATTATATAGTATATGAGATAAAAATGTATACTAGATAAATAAATTATGCTAATTTAAATCCATATCTTATTGTTGTTTTTTTGTGTTATAAATTCTAATTTGAATTTAATTTCTCTAAAGATGGACTGGATTAGTTTGTTTTATTCTATTACCTAGAGTGACTTCACTGATTGCATTTTTGTGGGTTTACAGTTGTTCGCCTCACTGTCTAAGCTATATTACTGTGAGATGGCTATTATGAAGTTTAGATTGTTACATGCTTTTATAGGTCACCACATCAAGACTTTGTTTACCCATCAAATAGAGTAGAGAAAACAAATGTAAAAAATATTGTTATTTTATTTACAATTTTACATCAAACAACCAGTTTTATACTTCACCGCATCCAACACTTGTATAAATCACGCAATCATAATTTGTATTTTCTTGTTTTCACTTTTTAAAATATTTACATAAAAAAAACCTGATTGCAAATATTTACATTCATGTACATGACAGGCCAGATCTGGGTTGGATACATTACATTACAGAAAAAAAATGTATAAGTAGAGAATGTTAGAACCAACTAAAGGAATAACACACACATTGGGTAGAGATAGTGATTTTTAACATAAAGTGTTATTTCAATTCTAACTCGTCTACACATTGTGTAGAGAATAGTCAGCTTATATTACAGTGGCAGCTTATACTATAGTTCTGATGATGAACTTAATAAAACTATCACAATGGGCCAACTGTAATCTCTGGTTATAGAGTGAGCTTATGCCTGAGACCATTTTCTAGACAGTTGCATAGATAGGATTTTGTTAAGGGTGTTTAATGTTATAAAAAATATGGTATATATATATATATATATATATATATATATATATATATATATATATATATATATATATATATATATATATATATATATATATATATATATATATATATATATATATAATCACATACACATATATGTATGCCTAGATATATAATGTTTACAAATATATTTTAATACATCCATACTGATTTGAATACCGTACAATTGTGGGTTTTGTTTGTTACTTTGAGGGTAAAAAGAATTGGGCACTAGCTTCACCTGAGTGCAGCCTTGCCTGTAGCATCTTCTCTCAAAAGTTTTGATGTTTGCCAAACAACAGTAGAGACAGTAGCGTAGCGAGGGGGGGGGGCGGACATATGTCCCCAGGCGCCGACCTTAAGGGGTGCCAAAATGGGTTGGAAAAATAAATTGAAAGGTTGAGGAGGGTGCAAATTGAAAATTTGAGGGGGTGTGGGTGCAAATCAAAACCTTAAGGGGGGGGGGTGCAAATCGAAAAGTTTATCCACGGGCGACGGGAAGGGTCGCTACGCCTCTGGGTAGAGAGTTTAATTAGTTTAAGACATTCTATACAATTTGATGGATTGTGGTCTATGGAAATGTTACATAGCATTATTTGATGTGTGTGAAAATTATAGAAAAAGTAGTCTTTTAGTTGTGGCCATAATTTAGTTTAGTACAGTACATAGTATCTTCATATGACAATGATCATTTTGCAAGGCACATTGCAGCTCCTCTACTCATCTTTACATAAAAATATTCACAACATACATAATTTAAGGCACACCCAAAAATATATACTTTACAGTAATAAATTAACTTATATTCATGCCATTTTTATAATAACATAAATTGTAAATGTTATAATAACTACATATCCCATATTCTATGACCAAACAGAAGAATATTTTCTATTTTACACTATCTGAAAATAACCTTGAGACACACAGTCATGTTGCTATAATTTCTCGACAAGCTCCCCATTTTCTTTGGCTTCAGTTTTCTCAGTTTGGCCCGATGTGACGACAACTTCCTGGCAATATTCTGTTTTTTTCTCCACGGAACAAATGGCGTTGGTGTAGGCTGCTACCATGACGTGGCTCACTGCATTCACACCTGATCTGCATCTGTCACTGAAATTTTACAATTAAAATTAATTACATTTAAAAATGGATTTAATAATTTACGACGTTGTTGGACTTTTTCTTAGTGTTTAAATTCCATGACCCCAAAAATGTGTCTTATAGCTAAACATAAATAGTAAATGCATGACCCATAAACTAGGATGATTATCAGCCATTTGCCTTTTCACAGGCTTAATCAGCTTCTGCATCTTTACAGCACAAGTTAACATAGTTTATATTGGCCATATTGGAAAAATAAAATCGAACATATGTGAGTTTTTTCCCTAAGCTAAAATGTTTAGATATGATTTTAATTAATTTAAAGTTTAATTCCGCTTCAACAGAGGCGTAGCGAGGGGGCGGGGGTGGTACATATGTTCCCGGGCGCCGACCTTAGGGAACGCCAAAATGGGTTGGAAAAACAAATTAAAATACCATTTTAGCTGCATATTTGCATTATAAATATAAAAAACAATATATGGGGGGTGCAAATCGAAAGTTTGAAGGGGGAGGGGGGGGTGCAAATTGAAAATTGAATGATTGCTCCCGAATTGAAAGTTTGTCCCCGGGCGCCGGGAAGGGTCGCTACGCCTCTGCGCTTCAAGTAATGATTTTATTGTTTTATAGAATTCACCAAGATAACTAAAGTTAAGTACTTATTAAGTGTTTCATTTTTTAGATCTAGATCTAACCCGATCAGGTATATTATTTTGTTTGACGTAACCTACATTTGGTGCAAAAGGAAAATCAATAGAATTTTTTTTTATTCTTTTGCCATACAGTCCGTACCTGAACGAACTTGTGCTATGCCTTGGGTCTGCCAAACCTCTTAGCTTTCCATTTGTAAAGTACTTCAATGTAAATAAAATTGATTAAAAAAGGGGAAACAACCAAGAAACTTACAGAATCCACTCAACAGCAAACAAGAGTGCCACCCCTTGGAGCGGGTAGTTCAAAGATGTCAACACAATGACCAGTGTGACGATGGACGAACTGGGAACAGGCGGGATAGCTAGGGACAACACTGAAGTCAGGATGCTAAAAAAAAAACAACAACAACATAAAATCATATTTTCAACAACTACACACTGCTACTACTACATAGTGTTTCTTTCAGATATTTTTATCTGTGGGTTAGGCGCTTAAAACTTTCGGAAAGGGGGAGGCGAACACTGGTTTAAAAAAGGGTTTTGTATTTAAATTATATTTCGTTCAGAGATGGGACGTGGGCAGTAGATATTTTTCTAGGGGCGGGGGGGGGGGGGGGGGAGTATTGTCAATAATACAGGAAGTTAGAGGAAACACATTTTTTTTCAAATTACTATGAAAAATAGACATCGAAATTTAACCTCATGCATATTTTATAAGTTTAAGCTAAAAAAAAAAATAAACAGCAGATTGAACAAATAAAAAAAACAAACAACATATAAATGAGTAAAATCGGATCCATATTTTAAAGCTTATAACATATTCGGGTTTTCCCAGGAAAGACGACAGGCTTAATAAGCCAAACACTTATTAACGAGCTGACCCGCGACGTAGTATACGCCGCCATCAGGTTTTTTTTTTATCATCAATTCACAATTTGTGAATTCAGTACTACCCCCACCCCCCCCCCCCTCCCGCCCGGTGAAAGCAGTCGTTTACAAAGAAAAGATCAATCAGAAATTATTACCTCCCTTTGTTTCAAATCGTTTAATACTAAATTATCTGCCCCTAATAGCCGTCACTAGCCCTGCTCTACGATTGTAAACAATCGGGGTGAACCACAGCTCACCTGACAGATGGGGATGAGGGTGGTGGCTAAACTGCGTGGTGTTTTCTATGGTCTCCATGAAGAGAATTATATTATAACGAGCCGGCCCGTTGTTGTTTTTTCTACTTTTCAGTAATTCATAATTTGTGAATTCGACAGTACCAACGCTGACACTGAAAATATTTCTTTAAAACACTATAAGTAGCTCGTTAAGGACCATAACCCCCCCCCCCCCCCCCTTCCTTCCTCTCCCCCCCCCCCCCAACGTTTAAAATCGTTTCAAACTAAATTATCTGCCCCTAATAGCCGTCACTAAACCCGACTCCACGAAGGTAAACATAGCGTGAACCACAGCTCACTAAGACCATGTAAGGGTGGGGATGGTAGGGAGCGCGTTTACAGCTTGTTTTCTAGCGTCTCCCAGAAGAGAATTATATATATAGATATATAGATAGATAGTGGTTAAATGAAAAAAGTACAACGGAAAAAAGCACAGAAAAAAGCGCTCAAAAATACACAACGGAAAAACGCGGAAACTATTAATTATCTAACTATTTTTTGGGGTAAAACTACTAATTATGTAATTATTTCATTCGAGGGTGTAACTATGTATTTAGTAGTTTTATCACTAGGATATTATTAGGTAAAATTAGTGCAAAACGTGCCTGAAATTGATAG